TATATGTGCGAATAAAATTTATGTCGACGATTTCGAGAGCACGGATCAAACATTTGTCAAAAAATTGTTCGATTCCTACTGATGAAAAACATGGTGGCTGATTAGTTTCCGACAGTTTTAAGGCAGGTCCAGCCGTATTGAAGATACGGGGCAAAAAGTGCCAAAAATGGTATTTTGGTTTTTAGAAAACGGAGCGTCCGATTTCAATTATTAAAAAAGCATTTTACTCGACAAATGAACAAAATGAACATAAAAAAGTAAAAAACGCCATTATGCGGTCAAAAATGATTATTATTAGACATATGTACATCAAATTATCAGATATTTTATAGAGATTTTAATAGCAAGTATAAATTTTGTTTACATTCCTATGGGTTCCGTACCAATGTTTACGCGTTAGATGACGACGCGGCGCTCACGCGCTTCGATATTTCGTCTTTATGCAGTTAAAGCAGTACGATTGCTTTGAGAAAAAGTTCAGAATTTCCAAAATATTGCAAAATAAATGATTTAAGATAGAATGATTTAAGATAGAATGATTTAAGATGATTTAATATGGTTCGAAATTCTATTAAAAGTTTCAAGTCATTGATCAACTTTTATTGATTATTATTGATTATTTTTAATTACTCGAATTTTGAATTGCGGTACGGGAAGTTCCAGCAATGTGCCTTAAGGCACGATGCCTTAATTGCCTTAAGACAGAATTCCGCTCACAGCTAGTTTTATTTTACATCCGATGGTATTCGACGTTCTAAATATTCATTGAGCATCGATTGTAACACTTTTAGCTTTAGATATTTTTATTTTTAAATATAAATATCAATTATTGAATGCACCTATAATTAGTGTATACTTCGTAACATCTTTTTTCGTTAATTATTTCTAGATTGATTATACCAACTTTAAAAAGCGAGATTAATAATTTTATAATTACTTCGTTTACTAATTAAACTAACTATAAAAATCCATGCGACACTTTAAACAATGTTTCCATAAAAATAATAAATAAACATTTAATTACCTATCAAAATCGAAAATAAGAATATATAAAGTTTCATACAATATCTTCATGAGCAAATTGCGTAAACAAGACTTTAACAAAACATTACACTGTCACGTAACAGCGCTGGAAACTTAATTACCTCAAAGATAATAGTTTTCCAGTTTATAAAATTTCCTAACGTCTCCTATTTCTGCATAAATGCTAAAGCCCGATAGCTTCAGAAAAAAAATCCAAGATAAACCTTAATTGAAACGTCAGTCATAGTAGCACTGGTATTGATCCTTTCATTTTGCAAAATATATATTTATCCACAGTATGTAATATAGTGATGAATATACAAATACAATCGAACATTTCCAGCGATTATAAGTATCTAATATTGATGCATGATTTTATTTTGTCACCCGGAAATTGTTTTACTGACATTTATAAATAGATTACATGATTTATAAACATAGAATTTAAATTTTATCAGCTGTATCAATTGCAGGTTTAGATTTATGGTTATTTACAAATGTAAATGTGTATGAATATTGTAACAAAATTTGTTGTTTTGTCGAAACTATTATTCTGAATTTTGGTCAATCGGAAATAATTGAATTTTGCAACTGATAATTATTTTTTCAAAGTAGGAGCAAGTGGTTATATAATAATATACTTAAAACTGCAGGCCAAGCTATTCGTTTTGTGAAACAAAATTTTCGAGACACCAAAACATTGAAGATAATGTCATATTATAAGATGACCATTAGATAAGCGATCTGATAATACTTTAAATTTAAAGGGCATAGCATTTTATTTAGATTTTACCAAATATTTTTCGATCGCCAATTAACTAGTTGTGTATGGCATCGTGCCTTAAGGCAAATTGCTGGAACTTCCCGTATCGTAACGAAATGTTCGAGGAATATTGAATGTTTTCAAATAGATTATTATAAATACTGTAACATTGTGTAATATTTATAATTATATAAACTGAATTACGAAGTTAAAATTATTAAATTTGGTTCTCTAAAAAACTACCATTTTTGCACAATTAGCTCAATATCTCCTAAACGGCTACACCTGCCTTTACCAAAAACTAAACACGACTTCTTCCAATAATTACAAGTTGAATGTTCCTTTGGATCGTTCAAATCGGATACGTTCTCTCAAAACATCGATTTCTATTTTCTGCACTCTTGGCCTCTATCTCCGTAACGGCTGGACCTGCCTTTGCCAAAAACTAATCAGCACATCTCCCTATCAATAGGAATCGAATGTTTTTTGAACCATTCAAATCGGTTGATCCGTACGCCCGAAAACGTGGACGAAAAAATGCGGACACACAAAACACACACACACACATCAATTTTTTTATGAGTTATGCCAAAATGTTCAGAAACCTTCAAAACGTGAAGATATGCAAAAAAAAATATATTTGATTTTCGGCCCATTACAAAAACTACCCTAAGGAAATTAATAAAGGATCTTTATAAATTTTAGCTCATGTGTTTTACTGACATTTATAAATAGATTACATGATTTATAAACATAGAATTTAAATTTTATCATCTGTATCAATTGCAGGTTCAGATTTATGGTTATAAACAAATGTAAATGTGTATGAATATTGTAACAAAATTTGTTGTTTTGTCGAAACTATTATTCTGAATTTTGGTCAATCAAAGGATGATAATTGGGTAGGTCTCGTTGCCAAGAACTTGGTCCAGTTTGATATCAAGCAGTAATGATATTATAAATATCAAACATAATATCATGTGAAAATATCCCATCGGAGCATTCCTACAAAAATTATTAAATCAAAAACAGTACTACTACACAAATAGATTATAAATGTGAACAACAAGCAACTACCGGGTTGTTTTCTAGACCGAATTTTACATTAATAATAATAATGAGTAGTACTGTCTTAGGTTGGTGAGCTGAGTTAAACTCCAACTGGATTCAGAAAAAAATAGTGTGAAAGATTTGTCATTGCCATTTCACACCGCAGTGCCCAACATGGGCTATTTTCAATTGTACGCATATTTTCGATGGTCAATTTTATTCGGAATTTGCCAATATACCTTGAGATGCGTAATAAAATTTAGGTATTATTAGATAATACTATTTTTATGATTAACAAAAAAAAATTCTATATTACTTGATTTCATGCATCATATACATAGAAGAAATACTCACCTCGAGCCGAAGAGCAAATATTAATCACCACGTGCACGAAATAGACTACATCAGGTCTGCATCACAGATCACCGAAAATTAACCACTATAAAGTTATCGTTTGAGCAATGTTCATATATTTCCACTTAATTCATAATAGCGTTAATAGTATTTAAAAATAATACGTATTTAAAGTTCTTTCAATTGAATTCAGATCTACACCACGCTATGAAATAATATAAATTGTTGCGTAACACATTCTTCCTCAAAAACTATGAACGAACTGAAAGTATTCGCTCCAACATTTGGCATAGATTAAGGTCGAGGTACATGTTACCAACCACAAAATTATCTATCGATAAATTATATTGGAATATCGATCAAGTATTGCCAAATATGTATCATGCAATTTTATCAGCATTGAAAGTCAACAGTAGTCTTATGGTGTTATCTGGTGTTACCCAAAAGGAGCCTTTTATTGAAGATTTATTTTAACCTTGAGCTATTAACTAGTGGCGCATGGCGTTGTGCTTTAAGGCAAATTGCTGGAATTTTCCGTTCAAGGAATATTGAATATTTTCAAATAAATTATTATAAATAATGTAACATTCATTATACTTATTTTATAAAAAGTAAATAAACAAAACTTAATAAATCGGATTTAAAATGAAGAACATTGTCTAAGATTTTTAAGTATTATATAAACCGAATTGCAAAGTTAAAATTATTTATTTCATGTATATAAGTGATGTTTAGAACTTTAGCTAGAATTAGAATTAAAATCCAAATCATTTTTCAGTAATTAAAAAAAATTGAAAATTAAAAAAACTGAAATAAAAAAAATATGTCCTCAAAGGCAATCTGTTCGTCAACTATTTTAAAGCAGAAACTATTTTAAATCATTCAAATCAGATGCTTAACTCTCAAAAACTGCCATTTTTGCATATTTAGCTTTAGATCTCCGAAACGACTGGGCCTGCCATTGTCAAAATCTAACACCACTTCTCCCCATCATTACGAATCGAATGTTTTTTGGATCATTCAAATCTGTTCATCCGTTCTCTTAAAAACTGACATTTTAACACTTTTTGCTCCATATCTCTGAAGCCGCTGGACCTGTCTTTATCAAAAACTAACCAGCAGGTCTCCTCATCACTAGAAATTAAACAATTTTTGAACCATTCAAATCAGATAATCCGTACGCCCAAAATCGTCGACAAAAATTTGTCTAACACCACTTCTCCCCATCATTACGAATCGAATGTTTTTAGATCATTCAAATCTGTTCATCCGTTCTCTTAAAAACTGATATTTATATCCATCTTTGTACAAAATGTCAAATTTGAAACTGCTTCACCAGCACTGAAATCCAACAGTAGTCTTATGATGTTAACCTGGTGTTACCCAAAAAGAGCGGGTTATAGTACTGTGGATTCCTTGTAATTCCAGCTATTAAAAATTATTAATTAAACCTTGTATATGTTATTTATATCCATCTTCGTACAAAAATGTCAAATTCAAAATTCCTTTACCCGTGATGAATATAAATTCCCAAATCCTTTCAGAGATATAAAATGATCTTATTTCAGCTCTAATCTGTCCTGTCATTGGACACAGAGACATCGCGAATAAAATTTAAACGCCGCATAATGAAAGTAATATTGTAACAAAACGTCATAATAAGCCGAAGATTTTGGGATTAAGATATAGCCCCTCATTGTTGGATAGGACATAAAAGCGAAAACTGAAACTTCGTTAGCATTGCACTGTTGCGTTCATATTAAACATTTAAAATATTCAGAATTATCCGGGCTTTTGCTGTTTATATTATATACACTTAAGGCTTGCGCTAAATGCTGAAAATACGTTTATGGAATATGTAATGCTTATTAAAGATTTTTATTAAGTTTTTCATTAAAACTCTTCACTGACGCTATTAGAATGTTGCCGAGTAAAACTCACATCGGTAAAGGAAAGGGTGGTAGTAAATGCTTGAGGAGTAAGAAAGTCTTGGTATCTTGATCATTTGTTATCATATCATATCCCTGTTTTATATAAAACATAGTCGAAATATGTACTTGTATTAATTGCATACTAATAAAAAAATGCATAAGTAAAAACCTACAAGCGCCCATCCAACATCAATGGATTCAAAGTAAATCTATTGGTAAAGATTGGTGTGTTATTGTATAAGGAAATACTTGATTTTTGTTTTTAATTTATTAATTATATGAATATTTTTAAGTAGTTTTAAGGATAAAATAACGTTGCAGATGCATATAAAGTATACGGCAATAAATTTCCCTTTGTTTTCAGATTTGAAGACCCACAACGTAGAAAATTAATAAATATTGCTCAAGCTAAAAAATCTAATCTAATGCACTAATAGTATTTCCTGATAATAACAAACAAATCGTTACTAATAGATTTACTTTAAACTAAATATAAACAATTGATATTTGATACGTACATGTGGTTAAAGTTAAACATGTAATCATTATTAAGTATTTTTGGACAACTTGATATCATATAGTAGTGATATCCATTTTCGCTTGTAAATATAGATCAAAAATATATTTCCAAGTGAAAACAGCCTTTCCCCGTCATTACTGAATTAACTTAGAAAAAATATTTTACGAATGTTACATAAATTCTAATAATAACTGAGTGCGATAAAACTAGTCAAAAATAATGGTACAATTGCCCCAAGTTTTCAAAAATTAAGACTTTCTGTTAAAATATGAATTTAAAATTTAAAAAATCGCTCCACTTTCAGAGAAACTCATTTAAAAAAAATGTACTAAAGTGTGTTAGCAAATTTCATTCAAACCTATATTTTTTAAAATCCAATTTCGAACCAATATAAATATTTAAATCGACTTTTAAGACAAATTGTTGTCAAGTATCTCTTCGTTGTTAAATCTTCAAAGTAATTACGTGGCCAAGGATCCCGGAATTATTAAATATTTAAAACAAAAATCACATTCAAAATTGGATTTATAACTTATCTTAAACACACGCATGCATCTTAATTGAGATGTTCAAATATCAATTAAGGAGCAGGGTTAATGCTGAATTAATAAGAGCCTTCTAAACTTTATACCCGAACAGACGTACATAGAAAGTTTCGAGGGGGTAATGTTTAGCTAATCTTATTTAGATTAATCTTATAATAATATCTCAAATTTAGGAAGTAGATTTTTTTAAATAATATATAGATTTTCTTAAATATACAGAGTTATACGAATAACTATTGTTAACCTAAATAAATTTAAAAATATTATTTTATACCACCACCAAGACCATGAATGTACATTAAATATAAATATTGCATAACCATAGCATTTCTATTTTATGCGAGAATTGGCTCAATAGTCAAGTTAAAATCGTCCTTTGTGGGAACTAAAGTTCAGAGTATTAGGGGAGTCTGGATACGGTTGTGCTACGTTTTTTTAAATCAGCATTAATTTTGTTAATTTAGCTGGGAGAAAAGTAAAGTCTACACAGTGGAGACCACTGGGTTGCCTTCTTTTGAAAAATCCTGGGCTAGGATATACGTTGGCAACCACAGTTCAAAGAACACATAGATGTGATTCCTGAAAAAAATGTTACCAATAACATATACTTTATGTATGAAATAGAAGAGTGGTTGACCACTGGATTGACCTCTTCAGAAAAATCCTGGGCTAGGATATACGTTGGCAACCACAGTTCATAGAACACGTAGATCTGTTCGTTGGAAAAAATGTTGCCAATAACCACTTGATAAGCACGTTTCCTATCGTATCTCTGATACAAATTTTAATAGAAACTTAAACCTTGCCTTCAATAATATATCTAACGTTGCAATCCCCAAGTGCACCGCATGCACACGTGTGCGAGACCGGAACTTTTCCTTGTTGTATATTTTTTCAAGAATCCTGCAAGAAAAGCCTGAGCGGAATAACGTGAGCTTGTCGCGATATTTTATTGCTTTTCTTCTCTGCCCACACGACGTTGCACTTTTTGCAAGATGCGGCCGACTCGGAAATTCTTACCATTGTAATTGTCACTGTTTATTCCAAGGATTCCGAATGGTTTTTCTGTAGACGTCATTAGAAAATAACAAGTTTTTCTGTGTTTTATACATTCATTCATTGAGCTTGAATTCATTCTTACATTTCATATTTAAAATATGAAAGGCAATTAAAACCAATCACAGGCAACAGCATAATTCTACTAGTTGATTGATAATCATCATAATTTTACTTCATGTTCCTCTATATTTTGATCGCATTAAAATATTATTATCAAGCTAACTTATCAACATTTAAATAACAGCATTTCTAAAAATAATTTACTTTTATTTTTATTTTTAACAGTAATCAGAACTTAATACTGAGCTGCTCTGATGATACTTCTCCTTAAAAGACAACCTAACGGTTGACTTATTTAAGTTTGATATATATTTCAGATTTGCTTTCTGTATCGTTTGACACCAAAATTGGATTTAATTCAAAATTTGACCTTTTGTTGGTGTTTTCTCAATAATGGTTGCATAAATTTCAAAAATTCAAAAGCCATTTGATGAAACTCGATAAAGACTTCGTGTTGAATAGTTTTGCATGAGTTTTATAATTAGTAACTACCAAATTTAGTAACTACCAAATTTTCTTTACGTTTGTGCTATAAATTCTGAATCAATTTTGAGAATTCAAAATCTGTTTGAAAGATATCAAAGAATTGTGTTGATTAGATTTTGGTAAAGATTGATCCAGCCATACGTAATTAGCTTTTAAAAGTATATTCTTGACAATTTTGATGGAACTTTGTACTGCTTTTGATGATAGAGTTCACAATCTAAAAAATATTAATATTTAAATATTGCAATTGCAATAGTGGACTGTGTGTCTAATGATATATATTATATATATATATATATATATATATATATATATATATATATAAGTATGTGCATATATGAAATAAAGTGTCTTTCATGAAATAACTCCGAAAAATTAAATGACAATTTCAGCTTGTAATGACTAAAGTTTCTAGCAATAATGATACAACAACGGTTATATTTCAGCCATATATTCAGCAACTAAACCACAGGCATTTAATGTTGTGTTAAATTTCAATTTTGCATGTTAGACTTTCAATGCATTTGCAGCCGCCATAAATCTTGAACATACAGCTTTCGTACAATTGTGTTCTAAAACATTTGCGTCTCGCGAGAGTTCCGGAGCCGGTCGACCCGGTTCTTCGGGGCTCCGGGTGTCCCAGGTTCGTAGTTTCTCGCAGGTTCGACACCGGCGCCTGCGACACAATGACTTAATACCCGAGACGTCGACTTAATCGCGAGTTTACGCGCGGCACAAAACTTCGTTTGCGACTCGAAAGCAATTACTTTAAACGCTGTTGCCGCCACTGCTGCCGGTATTGCTTCACGAGGCGGGCACGCGAAATTGCGCTAAACTTCGTGCGTTATATATCAATCAGTCGACGGAGCGGCGATAAAATATATAGGTATGCAGGTCGCAGCATGAAGCCGTGAGCTGCCGCGGTAAAGATCGATTGCAATCAGCAGGATTTCTACTAAACTGGGAACGATTCATATTTTACCACATTTCATCGCATAAAATTTACTGTATTAAAGGTCGTAATGTATTTATAGAAGAATCGATAATGGGTAACCAATTAGTGGTACTTGTAAAATTCAATTATTATGTAACTATGACACATAATTACTTAATTTGAACCTTTGGAGTTCATTCCTCCAAATACAGTATTCATTTTGAAATGGGAACACTTGAAATATCAATCATCTTTGATCAAACATTTTTAACTTCCCGTAGGGTAAGTTATTGTAATGGGCCGAAAATCAAAATTGAAAATTTTTACATTTCTCGACGTTTTGAAGGTTTCTGAACATTTTGGCATACCTCAGAAAAAATGGATGTGTGTGTGTGTATATATGTATGGATACAGATTTCCAGTGACGTTTTCGGGCGCACGGATCAACCGATTTGAATGGTTCAAAAAACATTCGATTTCTATTGATAGGGAAAAGACCTGATTAGTTTTTGGCAAAGGCAGATCCAAATAGAAATCGAGTTTTTGAGAGAATGGAGTATCCGATTTAAATGATCTAAAAAACATTCAATTTGTAATGATTAGGAGAAGTGTTTATTAGTTTTTGGCAAAAGCAGGCCCAGCCATTTTGAAGATACGGAGCTAAATGTGCAAAAAATGGCAGTTTATGAGAGAACTAAGCGTCCGATTTAAATGATTCAGAGAAATTTCTGCTTGTCTTAACAAAATAATTGATTTCGGAAAAAACATTTTTTTGTTTCAACTTTTTTCTTCAATTTTTTTTTTCAAAAATATGCTTCAGCAATTGCATTGCTAAGAAAATATATCTGATCACTATCTGCTGAAATTTTGCAAATTTAATTTGTAATTAATCATTGTATATATCAATCAAATTCATTGTATATAACAATTATAAATTTATAATTATGTCTTTTAAAATCTAATTTATAAAAATGTGAAAAATTAGTGTTCATAGTTAGAAACCGATTTAAACAGTAAGTGGTAACTAGTAAAATTTCAAAGTTATAACAGCGATTAATTAGCCTAAACCTCCTAAAATGTTCCACCAAGTAATTATTGCATCAAACTTGTGAAACGGTGGTGCATGATAAAGTGTGCATGTTACTAGACGTTTTAGATGAATTAATACGTCAAGGAGACTATGTGAATATTAAATCATAGATATAACTATTTGCACACTTAAAATAGTTTTGCTCACGTTATTGCAAAGTCTATATTTGGTACTAGGTATTTAAAATTGAGTACAAACATTTTACTATAAATTATAACAGTACCATTGGTTTGCATATTATTAACTTTTTATTTAATAATTTTATGTATTGTCGACGTTTCAAGTCCTTCTGAATCATTTGACGCCAACATTAAAAGAAGTAAAAAAGTAGAAAGCATTATTCAACTAAAATAAAAATATTGCTTTCCATCCTTCACCGACGATTCCAATAAGAAACCATTCAATTTGTTAATGTACAATTAATTTTAAAACTGAAGGATAGCTCAAATTAAATTTATATTGGAAACTAGTAATTTCATTATGTGGAGATAAAAAAAATCAATTCCCAATTAGCTTTAAGTGTAAATTGAAATTTAATTAATTATTATTTTATTTTTTCCAGCGGATTCTGCAGGATCACATTCAACGTGTCTGATGTGCCACAAATCTACAATTCTGAGTGAAATGGTAGTGATTAGTGCATTTTTGATAAATACTGTGATTCGATGGATCTAGAATTCGATCTAGTTTTAAGTGAACTGTATTAGTATAAAAAAGACAATATATAATGTAACGTTTTGATAAATTTCTATATAGTTATAATTTGTTTTCATAATTGTCGATAACAGCGAATTGTCATTGAAAACAAGATTACACATCCGTCGTTGAAAATGCAATCACTGAAGTCGTTTAAAAAATTCGTGGATAATATCTTTGAATATTTCATAAAAATAAAATGGCAAAAACCTTGTTTAAAATACATTATAATATTTGAACATATTTTGTTATGACTAAAAATATTTTTTATACCTATTATTTGAAGTATGTATAATATTATATGAAAGTTTCGATTTTTTTTATTAGGAGCCTTATTCAATGTTTATATTATATTAAATTTTGAAATAAAAATGCAAATACTATGCAAGCCAAATACTAAAAAAAACTCAATTTCAAATTGTGAATATTCAACATTCCAAATTTTATCGCAGTTTTTGCAATGTTCCGTATTTTGATAAATCGAAATTACTTTTAAATATAGGTATTAGTACTATTAAAAAAAAACATTGCAAAAATGATGTGAATAAATGATAAAAATGTGTATGAATAGTAGATTTAATGCAAGAAAGAAAACCAAATGTTTCCTATAAAGATTATATATGTTAAAACTAAATATTGTCTTCAAGAAATATTGAAATTTTATAATTTAATAAAAAATATGCAAAATATATATAGTTTACCAATGTACGATATTCCCAATTATTTTTTCCTTATTGCATCAAATATAATAATTATTAATTGCTTGATATGTATTTTTATAGTAAATATTTATCTTTAGTGCAATTGATAAAGCATATTTTTAATAATCATCAAAACTAAGTGAGTGGCGTTTATGAAAATTTACATATAAGAAATTTAAAAGAATTGAAATAACTACTATATAAAAGAATAATTTACTGCTTTTTATATATGTATATATTTCTGACTGTTCTGAAGAATAGGTATAAATTAAACCGCAAAATGTATTAAAATAAGAATGTATGTGTATAAATAATATGTAATAAATCTATTTATAAAATAGCTGGTTTAAATTTTACTGGTTTAAAAAAAAATATTTCTATGTTTATTTTATGGATTAGACTAAAATATAGTCTGGAGTGAGCAACGGTAAAAACTAATATAATTGAAGGAAACGTCTATAATAAAATTGGAACACAATATATTTATTTATGCTTACAATAATAGTATATATACATCAATTAAATACAAATTTGCATTTGTTCAGTTCGTTACCTTAAAAGGCATTAATGACTTCAATTCTGGCAACATTAACTTTACATACTACTTAAAACACTTAGTACAAACCAAGAAAAGATTTATGAAAGCTTATTCACATTCATACTTTTAACTGAACACAATTCTGAAGCATACAAAGATAAAATCATGAAAATTTGGCGATAAATTATTTGAATTTGTGGATGAAATGATTCGATACTTTGTAAATGTGACCGGATTAATCAAATGTTTCGTGATTGTAAATGTGGACAACGTTTGTTGAAATCATGGATTAAATTTATACGGTGTAAATATATTTTGTATTAAGCGTTAATTAATTGTAGTCGAATAATAAATAATATTATTATTGTGCATAGTTAATCGCGGAAAAATTATGGAAGAAAAAATACTTCAAAATTTGTGATCGAAAACTATTTGCGGCCAGTGTAACAGAAAAGATAAGGAAGTTAAATTTTTATATGAATGTAACTATCTTTTCCAAGGATTATGACTTTTACCGATAATGAGCCATATAAATTCTTATTAGAATCATATCTAAATGAAGATAATTACCTCTCTAAAGCTAGCAAGACCAAATTGTTAAAATCAAATAAAAGCCATTTATTTAGAATCCATAAAAGTTTTGTACTATGTGCCATCAGGAAAAACAGGAGGCACCATTAGCCCTAATATTAAATTTTAGCATAACTTCCTTTAGCATAAATAAAAGCAGAAATTGAAAAAAACTTATTTTGCTTTATCTTCTTTTTAAATCTGATAGTACAGATTGATACAAATTCAGTTCTATCAATTTTCAATTTTATTGTATTATTTTTCTTTTAATACAAACTAGTTTTGCTAGCAGTGCCTTGTGTTTCTTTTTAATTGCACATGGTACAAAAGTTTATTTTACAGGTCTGAATCTATTTTGCCAATTTGGTCTTGCAAGCTTAAGAGAGGTAAGGTAATTACTATAGTTACAACTACATAAGATTTATATACAGCCTTTACTATATTTAAATACTATTAATTATTAAGTTTAGATGTAATTTGTAAAGTATTAATTAATACGTAATTATTTCAATAAATATTTGTTGTTTTTATACAAATGTCAAATATTAAGTGCAGTAAATAAAAAACATCCAAATGATAAAAAAAAATCGTCCTCAGAACAAAAATTTTACCTGTTAACCAATCTTAGTTATATTGATCTCAACATTATAAAACAGATTGATCAACAGTACTTTAACTATTTAATCATATAGTTTGTCTATGTGAAGTTTAAAATATATATGCCACAAAAATAATGATGGTGATTTACCATCATAACTTATTAAGGCAAAGTTTTCAGATATGAATGAACCTGTAGAATATTCTATACAGATCTCATAAAAGAACTGTTTTGAGCGTCTTCATATTATATTACACGCTGGCTTGAAATAATATAATTTTATACAATCTAATACCTTATCACAAATTTGGAATACAAAGCAAGTTACTGAATTTTATATTACGAAATCAATCTTTGTGAGCAAGTAAGACCATAAAAAAAATCTCACTATGCATGTTACATTTAGCTTTAAAATTGAAAAGTATCTATTGCATTTTAGAAACCTCAAATTTTGTATTCAATATTTCTTCATCTGAATCAAGTATTGGCAATGTTGAATCTGCCATTGCTGAGGGTATATTTTCTTCCACCCACCTGAGATCTTCCTCTTGTGTTGTTGATGACTTTGGTTTGGGCGATGTGCTTCTATTTCCACCTCTCATTTTAACACCATATGCATCAGACACGAATTGTTCATCTTCATCTGGGAAATTAAAAATAAAAAACATTAATATTAAATTTGAACAGTATAGTATTACTAGTGCTTTTAACCAGTTTCTGCCTAATAAATTACTATTTTATACAATTATCTCAATTCTTGATAGAAACATTAATAATGGTTGCATACATTAATATTATGCTTGACTAACAATTAATTTTCATACCTTCTTCGTCATCCTCAGGATTATCTAGTAGTGGAGTAAATGCATATCGCTGATTATTATTTGTTGGTCTCCATAAAATCATTATAACAAGAAGTAGTACAGAAAATAGAATATGCCAGAATGCTTCATCTACCCATAATTCTTTGAAATCCTGTTCAAAAAAATATTAATTGTTTATTTAATATATTCAACTTTAAAAAATATGAATAAAGATAAAATTTATGGTAGAAAATCATACCTCTAGACATATTGCCAGCCTATGGAATTTTATGGAGTAAAGCATAAACACCACAGATGCTGTTACTGCAAATATGAGAGTGTTTGTGAAATGTCTGTATAAAGATAATTTTACCATATTTCTGCAACCAAAAACATTGATGTTAAAAATTTTTCACTGCAATTATTTTTTAATATGCAATTTATTACCTTCGTAACCTTAATGTGCGTGTTGTTTGTACTAAGGAAGTAAAAATCCACCAACAAATTGCAGAATCTAAGACAGCTAATGGTATACTGGCTACCAAAATCTGGTTACTAGGATCATTTTTTATATGCATCACTCTTAAATAACTTTCAACCGCAGCTAATATGAAGTACAATCCACCCGTTCCAACAACTCGATGTAACATTGGGCCTAATCGAGGCCTATAATAATCAATTGCATAACTTATAAGCCTGACACTTTTTTGATAAATATATAATTTTGTTCTTACTTGACTATACCAAATCCTAAGGACACAATTATGACCAGCATTCTTGCTAATGTCCTTTTTCCACAAGACACCCATTCAGCCAAAAGCACAGCTCCTTTTACAGATACTCCTGTAGCGTTTATATTTTGATATTCTGCATAAAATGTTGCTTTTTCAAGCATTCCTAAAAGTATCACACCACCAATCCAAAACTGAATTCTTAGCAAATCCCTCCATTGTAAAAATGACACAAATAACCACACTACTCCTAATATAACATATACTATACACATTCCTCCATAGAACTAAAATAATTTAAATATTATTAGAAAAGTTGAAACTTTCCATTTGCAGTAATTTTGTAAAAATGACACAAATAACCACACTACTCCTAATATAACATATACTATACACATTCCTCCATAGAACTAAAATAATTCAAATATTATTAGAAAGTTGAAACTTTCCATTTGCAGTAATTTAACATTTAAAATATTACTGGTAGTAATGGCCAATCAACTGCTGAAAGATATCCGTAACTGCCTTGCATCTCAATATTTACTTGTGCATTAAAATCTTTGTCTTCTTTGTTGAACATATGAAGAGTAAGCATATAAATTCCATCAGCAGGCACTGTATATACGGGGTTTGGAGTATCCTTTAAAACAAAAAGTTTAATTCATAATTCAAATAAAGGATAAACTTAAAGTAGCCAGATATATTCTTTGAAATGCCTTTTGGTACAAAATAATATTTTTATATTAGTAAAATATGGCAAATCAAGTCTTGATTTACAAACATTATATTTCAGGAGTAACATAAATAAAAACTGTGACTTCAAAAAAATTATTAAATATTAGATAATATAAAAAATATTTGTAAACTGGTTGTCTTACCAATTTAGGATGGCTGAGTAAAGCTTTAACAGATTTGGTATTTGAATTTCCATTTGCTGTGTTATCTCTTTGTGATCGATCACCTCCTGATTTATCTTTATTATCATTTTTATTATCTTTAATATTTGGCACTTCTTCAAGAATTATATGTCCTTTGCAAGCTCTTGTTATTGGAATGCTTGATATGCTCAAGCTATGATTATTTATGCTTTGAATTTCAGCTACAGGGATAACATTATAAAATACCTAACAAAATATTAAATTAAGAAGAGAGTTATTTTTAGAGAATGTAATATTAAGCTCACCCCATTTCCAACTTTTAAATACTCCTGCCAACATATATATTCACGTAACGTCCATTGTATTTGCACCTCAGGAGGTGGTTCTTCTAATGAAGAACATGTTACTAAATAAATAAAAAATGTTGATAGCATGAATTTTATGTAATAAATGAGGAACTTGATATAGATATAGACAATACTGACTCTGTATAAATATCTGTGAACCTTTGTATAAGGATTTTGGAATTGAAACAGAAGCTCTTTCCTAAAAAGACGAAAAAACATTAAATAACTATTGAATGCTATCCGGCTTTTGACGAATTTATTATTTAAGTTTTAATTATACCTTGTCTAATTGAACATCCCACTTGCCAATGTCAGGAAAAGCTATGCATTGAAGTATTGCACAAATAATTATGCAAATTAAAAATAGTTTTTTAGTCATTATTAAAAGTTGTAAATTTTATTTAAAGCAAATTTATGACGTTCAATTATGTTGAAATGTCAAAATTTGACATGAAGTATACACTTAATAAGCAATGTCGCCAACCTAAAGATAATTGTTGTTCATTGACTGTGCAATGTCACCAAATAGGCTAAATGTCATAACAAGGCAAAAATATTGTTCGCTTTTAAGTGAAATGTTTTGTTTTCAAAATAAATGTAGCGCTTAGTGCTAAATTGGTGCATTTAGTTACCTATATTTTCAATTAAATTTGAAAATATAGGTAACTACATTTTTGTTTAATCATACACAATTCGTGTTTAATTTGAGTGAGATACAATAAGTCCTTGTAAAGGATATGATCAAAAACTTGATACAATTTTTCCCAAAATAAGTGTTATGATCTTAAAAGCTTATATCAAATATTCGTGATGTTAACATTACTAAGCGAGGCTCGCTTCTGGAGCTTCCGAGATGACGTGGTTATTAATGATACAGATTTAAGTGTTTTTAGGTAGACACCCCTAACAATAGCCTGTACTTTTAATACCCTGTTCAAAACTAGTGATAAATCGTTTTTTAGATATCAAGAAAAAAAAGATTTTTCTGACAGTTATCATTATGAAGGCAAAAAGGATTTTGGTCAAAGCCGAGGCCTTATTTGGGCACCTAATAATAAAAGACCAATAAAGTTAAGAGAATCCATAAAAGAATTAGAAGAGCAATTAAATCAGCATAATGTTATTTATTGTCAATGGAGAGATCACAATAAAATATTATTAGTATTTTCTTCAGGGCTGATATTAATATCAATATTGATATTTTTACTGGAGATATCCTTAAAATTACTTTTGACAAATATTTAATAGGAAAGCTATTATCAGATTATATTTGCACAGGTAATCATCTGTACCATTTACTCGCATATGACATAGTTTTTAATATATATTAGTTACAATTATTTTGCTGTTTTAGTGGTCTATACTCCAACTCACATTTTATGTTCCTATAATGATAATCAAATCACAATAGTTTATTTTAATAAATATAGTGCAAGATTAGACTCTGTAGACAAACTTAGCAACTTAGAACCGAGGTAATGTTTATTTAAAAATTTATCATTGTATTGTGAATTTAGTTTTAAAAATGTATATTAACTTATAAAATTGAATTATAGATTAGCACATAAAGAAATTGCTGGTCCTTCTGGCAGAAAATTAGACCGCTATATAATGATAAATACTTCTGGAGACATGGTACTCATTTGGTGGAAAAGCTCGCAAGATGAAGTTTATCCTTGGGCACCACAAGTAAAAGAACAAGATCGAGCTAATATTCATGTTTATTTATTAACAGGGTACAAAATAAATTATAATTTATAATTGGTCATTACTTTCATTGTTCAGTCATCTTCAAGTTTAATATATTACAGAATTAAATTGGAGTTATTGTGTTATTACCGAACAGAGCAGGATCCTATTTCAGTAGTATTCTCACAAATTCATGACCACATAATAAGAACTATTGAGCAAAAAGTTTCAAAAAATGTATGTAATTATTGGCTTTGTGAATAATGCAGTAGAATATACAAATATATCCATTTTATTCAGGGTGAAGTTACAGTTGAAAATTGTACATATGCAGTTTCCAAAAACAGACTACAAAGAACAGCGGTCACCTCTATACCATTACAAACTCAAGTATGTTGTCATAGTTATAGTCCCGATGATGAAAAATTAATGTTAGGTTGTATAGATGGTTCTTTGGTGCTTTTTGATGATGGAAGGGGTATAACACATCTTGTTAAAGCTGCTTTTGTAAGTGTACATGTATGATTTCCAAATGGTGATAACTCAGGAATTATAATTAATAATGATTTTAGATTCCGACGACCATCTCATGGCATTTAGATGGAGCGATTGCTGTTATAGCAAATGAAAGAAGCCAGCTTCAATTTTTTGATATATCATTGTCAACTATAATAGTACAATTAATAAGTGATGATATGTCTTCAACAAATATTTTGGACCTAACATCATATTTCAGGTAATTTAAATAAAATTAGAGTAATAAGTATTTTTTTCATACATTCCTAAAAGTTTAAACATTTACAGTTACCCTCCTATTCTCTTAAAAATGTGTTGGAGCAAAAAATCCAATATTGTTTTGTATTCTGAAGAATATGCTCAAACGGACAGTTTTCTTTTACTTTTGTATGAACATGGACCTCTAGCAATAGTTCGATTGTTTGGAAGCAATGGGTTAACAGGTTACTTAAATTCTAAAAATATATTCAAAAAATATTTTACATAATTGATATTTTTTGTTAAAACCAAAATTACAGGCGACATACATAATATGGGTTTAACAGCAGATGTTTTTGTTCACCAATACTTATCATCTTGCTTTGTTGACAAAGCTATTAACATCCTTCTGTGCCTAAATTGGGATTCATATGGTTCTGTTTGTTTGAATTCTTTGCATAAAATTGTTAATTATTTACTTCAACAACCACTGAATGATGAAACAGAACTGCAATTGCAAACTGCACTTGCTAGTTTTCATGCACCATTAAGACCTATTTCTTATGAAACGGAATTGGAATATGGAGAGCAAGTTAGTGATATGACTAGAAGATTTTTTCACCATTTATTGCGGTATGTTTTCAAATGAATTTACTTTTTTCAACAATATAAATAGAAAATCTAAGGCAATAATTTGTTCAAATTTATAAACTATTTTCAGAAACCAATCATATGAAAAAGCATTCTGTCTAGCTATTGATATCAATCATTATGATCTCTTTATGGATTTGTATTACTGTGCCACAGACATCAATGATAATGAGATGGCCCAAGCTGCAAAAAGCAAAGCTGAAGAAGTGTATGAAAGAACTGAAAGTTTCAGCAGTGACCGTAAGAGAATTAAATAATATTCAATACAGTCAAGTATTTGAAATTGGGCTTGTACTCTTTCAGATTCCACATGTTCCAACTCATCTTGTTCTTTATGCTGTTCTGATGGATCTATTGAATCAGATGAAACATGCAGTAGTGATGATTGTCAAGGGCATGATGATGATTTAGAAATGCCCATACCTCAAAACTTTAACACCAAAATGACATCCTCTAACTTCAATGAAAAGAATATGCCACCTGTTCCCAATATTGCATCCTCCTCTTATATTCCGCCTCTACCCTATACTAAACATTCTCTCTGTTCTATACCTCCTTTGCCTGAAATAAGTTCGGCTAATTCAATCAAAACACATCACTTCACTAGTAACAATAATAGTCCAAGAACACCAATGAGTGTAACACAAGCAAACTTCAGTAGTAGATATGATTATGAATCAAAATTCCCAAATGTTTCAAGTAATTTGGCGGGTGCCAAATTTAGTTCAAATCATATGAATATACCAAAACCTCCAATGGCTTTACCTAGAAGTATGCCAAAACATCATATTGTAGACATAATCCCTAAACCAATTCTTAATAAAGCCCAATCTATACCAGCCTTATATAGTTCAAGTCCTGACCAGACTCAAAATGCAATCAAACCGATGGTGCATAATACATATATATCTTCAAGCTTCACAAAAGTGCATGAAAATCTTGTCAAACCACCTGCTCCTATATTTCAATACCCTTTAATATCTGGTCAAATACCTAGACAATCAGTGCAATTGAATTATGCATCAAAATTCAGTAATAGCATCCAATGTAATACAAAGGTTCCTCCACCACCTTCAGTTACAAATGCAAAAGCAATGTTAAATCTCAATCAAGATCAAAGCATACATCATCCAAAGCAATCATCTTCCATAAATAATCCTCCAAATGGAACTGGTTCAAAGCAAAGTGGAGAAAAAAATAAAGTAAAATTTTCTGATACTGTCACTGTTGCTGTTGTACCGGTAAGCAAATATTTTAATTATAGTAATTATATTCAATTCATCATCATTCATCAGCATTTGTATGATTTTTTTTTATCAATGTCATTATATTAAGGAAATTCCAAGGAGAGATAAAGTGAATGTCATAAATGATGCTACCAGAAGATCGAAAAGCATTTACCAAACTGATCCAAAACGAGAATTAGCAGATAGCCTACCATTGTGCCATCCCAATGAGGATTATTTAAAAGATTTTACACCCATGTTAGGTAAGATTATCATGTAAAATATCACTTGATTTTAAAATATCATTGTAAATTTGTTCTAGATAATAAGACTGAAGAAGAAAGTAATAGCAAGATAAAAGTTGTCCATTTCGGTGTTGTATAAATTTGAATAAAATATATTTTTGCATATAAATAATTCTCCATAAAATCAGTTATTTAAATTATTATAATAAATTGATGTCTAATCATGTTACATTATATATATAGGCCTACTAAAATATATCTTTATACGTTTATATAAATAAATCTTTATAATTATTAGTTATCTTTCATTCCATAATGTAAAATTGAAATTTCCATTTCGTTTTACTTACCAAGAATATATATATATATATATATATATATATATATATATAGCATAATGTACAATTGTGTTGCAAATATACGCGTATCCGTAGATAAACAAGGATCTTAAAATTTTGATATACTAATCTTAGATATATTTCTCATAAACTTGCATAATTGAATTATCAAATTTGGTTTTTAACTATTCTTTGCGAATTTTTTAAACCGTGCGCTACAGATACTAGTAAAAATATATCATTTATTATGGTGTGCGTTTGTAGAGCTCTGCAGGTCGTACTGTTTACACTAGCGTCATAAGAAGTCATAAAAATAAATAACTACTAAAAAAAAAAAATTGAAATCGTTTTACTATTCTATTATTGAAATCCTAAACTCATTCCCACTTTGGATATATTCGTTGAAAAATCCATTGATGATACAAATTATTTACATCGCATGACATTAGAGATAATTGCATTGTTTGTGGGTGCATTGCCATGCACTTTTTACGTTTTTGATGAATTAAAGTACTGCTTGATTCATCATATTTCCAAGGCCCATCAACTGTGCCTAAGCGGCAAAATGCTAATTTAACACCCCATGTATCAGCTTCAATACATCGTTCTCCTACCCCCAATTGCCCAGCTGCATTTAATCGAATAAGTTGGTTGTTTCCCAACCCATGGCAATGCTGAGTTGCCATCAGTGAAGGAGGAGAACGACCAAAAGTATCTAAGCAGTTACCATTTGCACGTGATCTTAATTCACCCCAGTGAACATTCTGAGGCAGTTCAGGAAATTTATCTAAAACATCATATGCTACATTATCCATATACCATTGGAAATCTTTGCATTGTAGCTTATTTTTGAGCTGGACTTGTGCTGATATATCACCCATGTCTAAAAATTTTGCCATTGGTTCCCTAGTATAAAAGAACTCTTTATGTTTTTCATCAAACCAGGTTTCAATAACTCTTTTATAATTATTTTTAATAAGTGATCCCTTTTTGGTGTGTGCTAGATCACCAAAACCGTAGGGCATAAAACTTCTATAAACATGACCCACCTTTGAGCAAGGTACCCATTCAATACTTCCACCACATTGCCAAATCTTAAAACTCAGTTCAAAATTTTCTCCTCCCCAAACCAGTAAGCCTGGGTCATAAGCCCCAATTTGCAAGAAATATTCACGATTTATGGCAAATAGGCCTCCTGCATGCGTTGGACTTTTATAAGGATCACTGTTATGCTCTCTGATATAAATTTCACGATATGGAACCTCATTTTCCTTATACAACATTCCCCATTCAAAAATACCTCGGAAATGATGCCTATCATCATAAACAGGTTGATATTCGAATGTTTTATGATCAATGCGGTCAATGATAGGAACTGTCATAATAGTGCTATCTCTGTGAATGGGTGCTAAAAGCGGTGGCAACCAATTAGTGTTCACCTCACAGTGTGCATCTAAAAATATTATAACCTCTCCTGTTGCTTCTTCAGCACCACGAGATCGACTTCTTATTAAACCTTCACGCTGATCATTTCTAATTAATCGAACTAGTCCTTTCCACTGTTTAATATAATATTCTAATTTTATGCCTAAGTGCTCTTTATCAGAGAAGTCATCAACTAGCAATATTTCATGAAGAAGATAATCTGGACTTCTATTAATAACTGAATATACGGTTCGCAAAAGAACAGACCACCCTTCATTATGGAACACTATAATTACACTACTTTTAGGCAACTTGGTTGGGTAGTTCCAATGTTTGCATTCCTCAAGTCGAGTATCTTCAATAGTACGATCTAAAGAAATTTCATCTGAACATACCATATTCATCCCATACTGTGATTCAGATTCCGCTACATCCTTTTGTTGATCCTTCCTCAGCCTATGGGGCCGACCACCTTCACCTGGTCCCTCTCTTATCAGAACATTCTTCAGCTCAAAATTACCCAATCCTATGAGAATAAGCAATCAACAATTGAATAAAAACTCAAATAACCTCAAAAAATATGATTTAGATCAACTGAACAATTTGTTGTCTTACCTTCGACCAGTTGAGGCAAATCTTTAATATTACTAGTATTTTTAAAAGCTGACAGCCGTATAAATTTTCTTTCTTTTTGTATTGTCCATGTCAATAAAATGTAAAAAAGCGGAATAACTATTATCGAAAAGAGGGCTATGGAAAAAAATCGTCGACGCCACGACGCAAAACGCATTTTTTGTGTTAGTTAATAATGTCATTAAATGATTTTTATACAAACATTTGGCGACATGTCTCGAATCTTCGACTGTTTAACGTTTTATGTGAATCACCAGTTTAGATCTGAAGTAGTCCAGTAATCCAAATGCACATGTATTTTGTTTGTATTCAAATTATTTTCCGCACTGGAAAGATAAATTCATTAATAAAAGAAGAGTATATGGATAAATTTTTGCGCGATAAAGTGGAATAAAAATATAAATGTATAAATAAATAAGAATTTTAGTAACTCCAGGTGTAGCGCCGACATCATAAGCTCTGCTTCAAATCAAACTGTTGATCAGAAAACATATGCGAACATTTGGAAGATCAACTACAACTACATCATTAGTAGTGTAAATAATTCACACAAAAGCACATAAATTTATAACATATAAATATATAATTGTGTTTGGTAAAGCATTATTATATTGTCTAGAAACTACATCTTCATTCCATTATTCCATCAAAAATTCAGCTTTAACACATATTGATCTAAATATGAAAATCATTAATTTTATATTAGATCAAAATCAAAGTGCAAGGCATAACTTGGACACCCAACAATAATATAAATTATTATTTTTATTATTATTTTGCCGTTTTTTATTTGTTGGTCTATACTATAATAATAGTATTTTTAATAGATAATTAAATTTCAACAGTTTATACATTTTAAATTTTACACTTGTCAGTTGAAATGCCGTTTTTTGAATATTTTTTTATTTTGGTTTCGTTCGTTGCCAACTTAATGGTACAAATTTTTCAATAGTTTGACAGCGATGTTTGTTTTGCAAGTAACAAATGCCACATTTGACAGTCCACGTATAAAGTAATACTAAAAATATTTATTTTAATTTAAAATAGTATATAAAAATGAAAGATAATGAAGGAGCACAATTGGATGTGAGTATCTCCGTTGAATGTATTATATTATCGTGCATAGCAAAAATATGTTTTCTTCTGTAACTAAATATTTTATTACCATTCATGCTTTACCAAACACAATTATATATTTATATGTTATAAATTTATGTGCTTTTGTGTGAATTATTTACACTACGCTATATAATAAAAACATTTCTTTCTCATTGAATGATAACTCAAACACTATTCAAAATGTATGTGGTAATAAAAACTTGCCGTAATGGGTAATTTTATATAATAAGTATAAATGTGAGCTAATATAATACTTTTACTTAGATGTACGAGGATATTTTGCCAGGATCACTGGAAGGTGAAATGACAGTGGCAGGTTTACAAAAACCAGTTAATTCAGCTGGAAAATTAGAATTTAATACCCTTGATGAACCTATACGCGATACTGTGGTATGTGAAATAGAAATAAACTAATTGTAACAAAAAAAGTTGTACTTTCTGTGCTCAAGACTTGTCTTTTGTAGATGAGAGATCTTCGTGCAGTTGGAATTAAGTTTTATCATGTGTTAATACCAAAACAAAAGTCTAGCCTTCTTAAAGAGTGTAAATACAATGAGATATTAAAACACATCAAATACATACATTTTAGTGATTTCCATTTCCAGGGGATTTATGGGGTCCTTTAATACTTTGCACATTTATGGCCACAATTTTGCAAGGAAATAATTCTTTTGATAGCAATGACGGAGGGCCAGAATTTGCTGAAGTTTTCGTGATAGTTTGGATAGGATCAATGATAGTCACACTAAATTCTAAACTTTTAGGAGGAAATATGTAATTAGTATTTTATGCATATATCATTTCTCAACTTCTCTTGTAAAATGTCCTTTGAACCTATATTTCAGATCATTTTTCCAATCAGTTTGTGTACTGGGATATTGCCTCTTGCCTACAACTTTATCACTCATCTTGTGCAGAATTATTTTATTAGTGACACAAACTACGCTGCTTTTTATCATACGCTTGTTGATAACAATATGTGGATTTTCTTGGGCCACCTATGGTATAATACAAAAGTGATTAACTTGGTTATTCATATTAATTATAACATACTTTTTCTTATTTTTGTAGCTTCAATCATATTTCTGGGAGATAGCCAACCAGCAGATAGAAAGGCACTTGCTGTTTATCCTATATTTTTATTTTACTTTGTAATTAGTTGGCTTGTGATTTCAAATACAAATACATAATATATTAAATTTTAACCCTTATTTTTGTCCAAATGTATTCTGTAATTCTTTGGTAATATGGAAGTCATTCCATTTAAAACCCGAATGCTGATATAATGTTAACTATCAATGATTAAATTTTCATTATTAGAAATAGTAATAATGTGTCACAAAATCATTAAGTTCACTTAGTTTTAATGTAATATATTTTCTGAAAGATAATTATTACATATACATGTATAAAAAGTAAGTTTGTCTTGAAAAGCATCAAGAGATAATCATTCCATATGATTGCAAGTAATATTGAATGTAATTTTTGTTTACAGTACCATTTTATGATTCTTGTGGTAAATTGTTCCTTCTTTTTGAATCAGTTTTCACAAAAAGTCATCCAAATTGCTAATTAAATGTAATTTATGTGATGTTAAACTAATAATATATTACTTATTTTAATTGCAAAATTTTCAATGACGAATCAGATTAATTTTAAATTTGAATTTTTTTTTGTTGAGCTTTTAATATAAGCTCTATGTATGCAGTTTCACAATTATTGTTTAATGGCATTTCTAACCTCATATCATTTATAATTTTCCTTACTTATCAGTTTTGAATCATGATAAATTTTAGATAATTTTTCTGCAATCAAATAACTTAAACGCATCACTTTCAAATTATGACATATTTTATTATCGTTATAGCATACACGAAATGTAAAAGGCACATGTCATAAGTTTATTCATTTATATAATCAATCAATCAATGATATGCTATAACAATTAAAAAATTAAATCCGAATTATTTACAATAAAATAACATCATTTCAATTGCACTGATATACTAAATTTAAATTAAATCTATCACCATCCATTCACCATATCAAATCGTGATATGTTGTTAACAACATAAGTACTTTGTACAAAATAAATCTGTTAAAATTATTGATATGTCAATAAAGTCAGCAGTTTTTAAACCTATAGTTTAATAAATTAATTTAATTATAAATATCATTATCAATAAAATAGCGATCGTTTTTATAGGAATGCATCAATATACCAAATTACATATAAGAAAATAATTATGAAGCTCCTTTATGTTGCGACTAACATGTAAGAATTAAAAACTATATAAATCTGAGGGCATACTAATAATCGGGCTCTTAATCTCATCTCAAGGCAAAATATAATTTAGTACAAACAATTCCAAAAAAAAATCCCAATCTTGTGTAATAAAGATTTTTCTCTATAAAAGGAACTCATGTAAAAATCATGCCTAGATTTAATATAAATATAAATTTCGGCAACTGCATTTTTGCACATTTAAAATCATCTTCCATATAAATAATTACTAAAATCTTATTGAAATCCTAAATATTATTATGTTCTATTTATCCATTATATTAAAACTCTTTAAATGCAGATTCATACGTATCATTTCTAACTAATCTCTTTCAATACTGTTCTTTTAGCTGTATATTCTTACGTACATTAACATTTAAAACTCATTTCCATTTTGGATGTAGTGGTTTAAAGATCCATTGATGATACAAATTATTTACATCACATGGCATTAGAGATAATTGCATTGTTTGTGGGTGCATTGCCATGCACTTTTTATGTATTCGATGAGTTAAAGTATTGCTAGATTCATCATATTGCCAAGGTCCATCAACTGTACCCAAACGACAAAATGCTAATTTAATTCCCTGTGTATCAGCTTCAATACATCGTTCTCCTACCCCCAGTTGACCAGCAGCATTTAATCGAATTAATTGGTTGTTTCCAAAACCATGGCAATGCTGAGTTGCCATCAGTGAAGGAGGAGAATGACCTAAAGTATCTAAACAGTTACCATTTGCACGCGATCTTAATTCGCCCCAATGTACATTCCCAGGCAGCTCTGGAAATTTATCTAAAACATCATATGCTACATTATCCATATACCATTGGAAATCTTTGCATTGTAACTTATTTTTGAGTTCGACTTGTGCTGATATATCACCCATGTCTAAAAATCTTGCCAATGGTTCCCTAGTATAAAAGAACTCTTTATGTTTTTCATCAAACCAGGTTTCAATAACTCTTTTATAATTAATTGTAATAAGTGGTCCTTTTTTAGTTTTTGCTAGTTTACCAAAATTGTATGGCATAAAACCTCTATAAACATGACCCACCTTCGAGCAAGGTACCCATTCGATACTTCCACCACATTGCCAAATCTTGAAACTTAATTCAAAATTTTCTCCTCCCCAAACCAGTAAGCCTGGGTCATAAGCCCCAATTTGCAAAAAATATTCACGATTTATTGCAAATAGGCCACCTGCATGTGTAGGGCTTTTATAAGGCTCACTGTTATGTGCTCTGGTCTTAGTTTCACGATATGGAACCTCATTTTCCTTATACAACATTCCCCACTCAAAAATACCCCGGAAATGATGGCCATCACCATAAACAGGTCGATATTCAAATGTTTTATGATCAATGCCATCAATAACCGGGACTGTCATAATAGTGCTATCTCTGTGAATGGGTGCTAAAAGTGGTGGCAACCAATTAGTGTTCACCTCACAGTGCGCATCTAAAAATATTATAACCTCTCCTGTTGCTTCTTCAGCACCACGAGATCGAGTTCGAATTAAACCTTCACGCTGATGATTTCTAATTAATCGAACTAGTCCTTTCCACTGTTTAATATAATTTTCCAATCTGACACCTAGGTGCTCTTTATCAGAGAAGTCATCAACTAACAATATTTCATGAAGAAGATAATCAGGACTTCTATTAATAACTGAATGTACAGTTCGCAAAAGAACAGACCACCCTTCATTATGGAACACTATAATTACACTAGTTTTAGGCAACTCTGTTGGGTAGTTCCAATGTTTACATTCTTCAAGTCGTGTATCTTTAATAGTACGATCTAAAGAAATTTCATCTGAACATACCATATTCATCCCATACTGTGATTCTGATTCAGCTACATCATTTTGTTGATCCTCCCTCAGGTTATGGGGCTTACCACCTTCACCTGGTCCTTCTCTTATCAGTGCATTCTTCGGTTCGAAATTACCCAATCCTACATGAATAAGAAATCAGCAATCGAATGAAAACTCATATAACCTCAAAAAAAATATAATTTACATCAAGTGAAAAATTTGTTATCTCACCTTCGACCAGTTGAGGCCGATTTTTATTATTACTAGTACTTTTAAAAGCTGACGGCCATATAGATTTTCTTTCTTTCTGTATTGTCCATGTCAATAAAATGTAAAAAAGTGGTACAACTATCAACGACGCGAGGGCTATGCGAAAAAATCGCCCACGACGCCACGAAGCAAAACGCATTTTTCGATGTTAGTTAATAATTCCATTAAATGATTTTCATACAATACTACTATCCACATTCAAATCCATTAAAATTAATTATATTCGGTTATTTGCCGACGTGTCTCGAATCTTTGACTGTTTAACATCAGCTGTTTAGATGTGAAGATAGCAGTAATCCAAAGGCACACAACATTTTCTGCGCGAATTATTTTTCGCAATGGGGAAAGATAAATTTTTGCGCGATAAGGTATAATTAAAACATAAATGAGCTTTATTAGGTATATTTTTAAAACAAATTAATCACAATTTCAAATCTTTAGTGTAACATTGTCTAATACATCAGCTAATTGCATAGCATGTTTAGCACTTTTTAATTTTGCTTTCTTGATTTTTTTTGCTTCTATCTTCTTCATCTTATTTAATGTTTGATTTCCTACCAATGATAAAACTGGTTCTACTTTTGTTTTCTTAGTCTCTATGTTCTTTTTAGGTAATTTCTTCTTCTTCTTTTGTTGTACATCTACATTAATATTGCTAGAAATCTGGGGAACAACAAATTTCACATTCAAAATAAACCAAAAAATTTAGAAAAAGTTATAAAACTATTATCATGTGACTCACCAAGTCATCAGCTACATCATCTTCGTCCATCTTTTCTAAAATGTCAACTGGTCCTGTACTCTCAATCAATATACCTTCTTGATCATCACAATTTATTTGACCTGAAATATTTTAGTTTTAATTAAAAAATTAATGTAGTTTCTTATATCGAAATGCTAGGGATCTTAATTTTGAATAATAACACACAAAACTTCTTAAAGTATTGAATTCTGGTAACCAAATGTATTAAATGAATATTACCTATTGTTTCACATTCCATACTCTGGAAACTGTCAACATCAAATTCTTTTACATCATCTTGTTTCACAATGCTTGCACTTATATGGACACCTTCAGAAGATGGAGGCTCAGTATAATATCTAACTTTACCATTATTCCAATCTTCTAGCAAACCTCTTGCAGCTGCTGCTTGATCTGGTACTCCACCTTTTAATATTTTACCCATTCTAGCCGCTTTGAGAGCATAGAATTCCTTTGGTGTAGAAAACTCAACAATGTCATATAAATTACAAAGCATCTTTTTGTCTGCTCTTTGTAAAATTGCATTTGCAGGTGTAAATGGATCTTTAAGAGAACCAATACTCAAAGCATTTTTCAATGCAATGGAACTATCATTTGATTTGTTAGAATCAGCAAAAACTATTCCAGGGGAATCGAGAAGCTTTATTTTTGTATCAAGTTGAACTTCTTGCATTGCTTTTGTAACTCCAGGTGTAGCGCCCACATTACAAGCTCTGCTTCGAATTAAACTGTTGATCAGAGAACTTTTGCCAACATTTGGAAGACCAACAACACCTACTCGTATTGCCGTCTTTATTCCATTATTTCTGCAATAGTTGGCTAATAAGGACATCAAAAGTTCAGCTCCAACACATGTTGAACCTAAGTATAAAGAACATTAAATTTATATTAGAAAATAGTAAAATAATTATATAAAAATGACAACAAGTGTTTGAGATTATTATTACTCATACAATGTAATTTTGTCACACTAAATTAAATATTGATAACATAAGACTTTAACACTAAACTTAAAGATTAAAGATAGTATTTGATAACTAAACCTTGTAATGCTTTTTCATTTTTGCATTGTGCCATTTTCCTTCTTCCCAGTTGATTTGATTGGGATTGAGTCGAGGCTTTAAAAGGAACAGCAGGTACACTTTGTTTTAGATATTTTAACCATTTTTCTAGATTTGTTCTTGGTATTAAATCTATAATTAAAAATGGAAACAATATATACATACATAAAAAAGCTATAAATAAAAAGAATGTCATTTTCATTTAAATACCTGCTTTATTAAGAACTAAAACAAGTTTCTTGTTTTTAGCAGCTTTAATAGCATTTTCAACCTGTGTGCATCGTGTTCCTGTGTAGAAAGTGGATAAAATGACAATGATGCAATTATATACAATAAAAGTTTAAATTGCTATCAGATATAAAACTAATAATCTACTGAAGTTATTAAATATTATTGAATATTTTTTACCCAATGGATCTCTGGCATCTACAACTTCTAATATAACATCAGCTGCATCCAGAACTTTTTTAAATTCCTTATAATATGCCTTTAAAGAATTTTCTTGTTTCTTATCTGTTCCATATTTCTGATTATCAACACCTGATACTTCTAAAGCAGTATGTATCTGTCCTCTAACTTCTGCATTGTTTACCTGATACAATTTAGTTGATATATGTTAAATATATAAAGGACATATTTTATATTGCATTTAATTATGTGAAACCATTTGTTCTAGTGTTGTCTTTTTTTGCTGTGCTCGTTCTAGTTTGAGTTGCTCTCGTCTCTTCTGTTGTTCCTCTTCTTTTCTTTTTTTCATTTCTTCTGCTTCTCGAAGAATGTCTTCTTTGAAAGGACATATATTTGGAACTTGAATAAGCTTAGATTTCTTAGCTAAAAACAAAATTAATTGGTTTATTAAATTTTATTTTAGATCAATAAGTGCTTCAAAAATTATTTATATAATTACATGGCGGTTTCTTTTTATTAAGTTTTCTTTGTTTTTTATTGTGATCACGTACTTTCTTCTCAATTTTGTATCTTAAGCGTGCTGGTTGACGCTTTGACATTTTCTCTGAAAAGAGGTTAGGAAAATATTTATTATTGCCCGATAGTTATTCAACACTTGATATTTTCAAAAACTTACTTATTTTCACCATTTTGAAATATTAAATATTTTATAAGTAAAATACAAGCAATAAAGTAAATTAATACTTTCTATTAATTTCGAAGAAAAATTGCACGTGGTGTAAAAGATTAGAAAATCAAATGACAATGAGTGCCAATCAAAACACGAAGTTTTTACCAACTTAATACCTATTATTACCAACCTTCAAATCTACACGATTATAAATTTGAAAAACGGCGCTATATAAAAATGCAATACACCTTGCATTTATAACAATATTACAATTGTTATATATTGTATTGCATCGTATTATGTTCAAGTGTAAATAAATGAAAATATATATATTTATAAAATATTATAAAGTATAATATAATAATATAAAGTGTAATATGAAAAAAATAAAAGAAACAATTTTTGTATTATCCTATATTTTTTAAATTTTGGAATATAATAAATATATTACATTATGCACCATACTCTAATCTTCTGACAGCCTTTTCTAGAGCACATAAATGTTCATCATATGCCTCAGGTCCAATGTCTCTCATTGCATTTGCTAAATTATAAATATATTCTTTATTGCTTCCACTGGGTCCATAAGCTGTAAATATCTGTTGTGCAATGTCTTCAATGCTCGCTTCACCAGCAAAAGACTCATTTTCAGGTGTTGCTACATAAATATATAGTTCAAATGGTTTACTGTTATCTTGACTATTTTCCTTTGGATAAAATTTAACAGTGGAGCGAATATAACCATTTTTTTCCCGATGATCCAAATGCTTAGTTACTTTTTCTACATCACAGTCTTTTATTTTATATGCGACACCCCACACTTTATCATTACTGTTTTTTGATAATAGTAGAGTGACTACTCTGCCGGGCTGTAAGGAATACATGATTTAATATCGCAGGTTAGATTGAATTGATGTAACTTGGTACTTATTTAAATTTATAGAAAATATGAATGTATAACATACTTTTTGTGGTATTCCCCTGTGGTCTATACTGTGTTGGTAAAATCTTCTATTATAACCTTTGATGTAACCTGTCAATTTTTTCTCATATGGAAAATCTACCTTCCAGACTAAAGAACCGTATCCGAACACCCACATCTTGTAATATATTTATGAATCGATTAATAACAAATCCAGAGCATTTCAAAACCGTTTAAATTTTTCCCACGACTTGATCGCATTGCAGTACCACGTCATTCTTCACAGTAAGCAATTATCCCTTCTTATCCACTGCCTAAAACATTTCATAGTATATGTAATTCTTAAATAAATTCTTAATTTTATTTCGGTTTCTTTTTTCAGCTGAACATCGTAGACTGGTTTTGTTACGATGCAATTTTAAAAATATTGCATCAACTTTGGTTTGGTTAACGGCCTTTTAAAATTGCATTACAAAAATGAACTATACATGATGTAGAACATCAAAACATTTTTTGCAATGATTGAGATAACTTTATACATTTAATTTTTCAAATAATATATTGAGGTATATAATAAAATTTATTTCTGTTTAACATCAACCATTTTGATGTTTTGAATGACGTTTCACTTTCCTATATTATAGATTATAGGTTACAATAATCCCAATTTATTTGTTTGTTAATAATATAATTTTAAAAATATTTTTAATTATAAAGCTTTAGCAAACAAAAATAAATTATTTTTTATGGTTTATGGTATTATGGTTTTAATTCTTGTAGAAGTTTACAAATAATTTGGTTGAAAAAGGAAATAATTTTCTGGTTTGTTCCACCTACTACTAAATTTGGTAGTAAATTATTAAACATTTACTAGATAGATTTTTACTGTTGATGTGAAACTCAATTTATTTACAAATAATGAATGATTTATCTGGCTTTAATTTACATTTTACAATAATCATGAAAATTAAGTTACAATATTAATCATCCTGTTTTGTTAATAGACTACCAAACACTTTATCTGGTACTATTTGCTTTTGAACTGGAGCATCCTTATATTCAGCAGTTTCTTCATATCCTTCTTTCTGTTCCGTGTCTGAATTCTCTTCCTTGTCTTCATCATCTTCATCCATATCTAATTCAATTTCATCAGGATTAATAACTTTAGATATTTTGTCATCCCTATTTGGCTGTCCTTGTGTTTCTCCCCGAACAAACATAATATTTGAAGGCTTAGCAAAACCAGCATTTCCTGATTGTATTTCAGCTGCAGCTTTTGCTTCTAACATTCTCATATTATCTCTTGCACCAGGAGCCAAATCAGCAACTGTACCAGCAGATAAGTTTGCTGAACTTAACATTTGAGCAGACATCATATTAACTTGAGTATTATAAGTAGCTTGTATACTCCGTTTAATCCTCAACATTTCTCTCATAGTATCTTCATTGCCATGTCTTATTTCAAATTCTTTCCAAGTTTGCCAAAAATCAGCAGTGATTCTAGGATCACACATTTGACTACAGTGAGAATATATTGCTCGAGCCCTGTCAATTTCACCTAATTTGGTTTCCATTTCAGCAAAGCGTTGGCACATTTCTCTTGCTTTATCTTCTGGTAATAGTTCAATTGCTTTTTCATATATTTGTCTCGTTTTGGGAACACCATAAATTTCTGCAGCCTTTTTAATGTATATATTAAACATTTGGAACATTTCTTCAGGTAGTACAGCAACTGTAGCTCGTTCATAAACAGCCATGGCATGTCGAGCTAATCCATGTTCCTCTTCTAATTTAGCATATAATAAGAATAATGATTTAGCAAATTGAGGAGGACATTTTTCTAGACATTGTTCAAATAAGTCTCTTGCTCTTTCCAACTTTGTACCACCATAACGATTTAAAAATTTTGATAAATAAGTATTCCAAATATCATAAACATTTGGCCATTTGAATTGTGCAATACCCTTTTCATAAGCTCTAAACGCTTCTTCAAAATAATTTTGTTCCTCCAAAAATAGTCCATAATTCATAATAATTTGTGGAGTGCATATTTTTAAATCTATAATTCTATCATATACAGCTTTACAAGATTTAAATGTTCCAAAGCTTTCTTCTAGATCTGCATACATTGACCATATTTTTAAAGATTTGTATAAACGCATTTGAACTGGTTCGGTATCATCATGATATGCTACTTTCCTTGATGGCATTGCTGTAGCTCTGTGCATTAGTTTTAAAGCATCTTCATAATTCTCATGACGAATTTCCATTTCTGCCCACTCGCACCAAACTGATGCTAGTTCATCTACTTTAACATATGGAACTAAAATAGCCTTTTCAAACACTAGTCTTGAATCATCAATCTGTCCATTTTTTTCATAAAATTTAGCAAATTCTACCCATAATGTAAACAATTTACCAACAGCTAATTTTGGTTGAACAGTTTGAACTGCTTCTGTATATGTGTTTATAATTTCATGAGGCTTGCCTTCATACAGTTTTACCCTTTTATGCCATTCAGGTACGTTATGAGGATTTTGGCGTAAAAGTACAGAATTCAGTAGCAGTAACCTTCGTTCCATTAAATGTTCAAATCGGGCAAGTCTCAATTCAAGATCAATATCATCATCTTCAGTGGGGTTTTGATTTTTAGAAGCTTCTTCCATACACTTACTTAAACTAAGTTCTTCAAACTGAGCATATGCATCAAAAACTTGTGTAAAATCTCTAACAGTAGTAACTGTTTGAATTGCTTCTTCATAAATATCTCGAGCGCGTTCAAATAACCCACTACGCACATAATAATCTGCTAAGGAATTCCATAAATGTCCTAACTGATCAGTATACCTTCTAAGACCACCTCGTATGATAGCATCAACATTTAGTGAATGTACTTTATGTGGATTTTTAGATATTAATTCACAAAGTTCATTCCACAGTTGATGATTAGATTTTCCATGTTTTGAAACAAAGGTATCACTATCAACAATTTTAGCTAACTGAATGGCTGCTTCATCTAACCAATCTATAGAAACCAAGTATTCTATGTACTCTTCGGCTTCTTCGGGGCATAATTTAAGGTATCTTCTAAAAACTCTTATAGCAGTTTCATGAATATCATGTTTCTTTATAAATGTAATGTATAAGGGCCAAATTCTATGATGTTGAGTAATTGGCAATGCTCTCAGAGCCCGATCAAACACTTGTCGAGTTCTTGTTATTAAACACTGATCTGTCATGAAAGAACAATAGTTCATCCATATCCTCGGCATTTTGTGCATGAAAACCAAGGCACGTTCAAATACATTATTGACTTCTTCAAACTGAGGATCTGTTATACATAGACCTTTCAATTGTTTTCGGCGAAGTTTTAAGTATTGATGCCAAATTTTATATGAACCTGGCAGTTCTTTCAAAGCCCTTTCATAAATTATGTTGATTATGTGCTTAGGTGCTTTCTTTTTGTGCTCAATATACCGTAACCAATGTTTTACAGAAAAAGCATTGCGTAAAATTTCTTCTTCGTACGCAATGTCATCTTCTTGGAATGATATATTAATATCACCCATTTTACTGGATACAGTCATTAAAATTCTAGTTGTTCTCAATGTAATAAAAACATTTAAATCTAAAGAAAATAAACTAAAACATTAAAGAACATGAAAAATTAAGTAAAAATCTGTGTTGGATTATAACCTAGTTTTGATGTTTGGCTTCTGTTTGACATATTGTGAGTAGAAATGGTTGCCAACATTGTTATTCTATCGAAAAAATTATCAGTAACGCCAACATTAAATATTGTCTCATGAAAACGCATTAAATTCAAATTTCAACTTTCAACAAATTCTACATTTTTAAAAATTGTTAGAGCGTTAGTGCTAAATATTCAAACTTATAAATAAATATAATACTTTGATTTCTTTTATTTTGCGATATAAATCAGTCTAACGATTAGACATTATTCTTTTTTTCATTTATTTATTAACATTTTCATATCTCAATCAGGCATGGGTGCATGGTAAATTTTAAAAGCTTTAAAGATTGTTTACAGTCCAATTAACCCAACAGCTTATGAGACAAGTTCTGATTGCTGTTAAAAAAACAATAAAAAATTAAAAAAAACTTATCTGCGTTATCAAAAAATATCATCCTTATAATTATACATATACATAGCTTATAGCATAATTACCTTAACCGCTTTATAAAAACAAGGTTCAATTAATTGTTATCGTTCAAGATATTAATACATAAAGAAGATAATAAATGTCTTATTTTTTCAAATATTATACTTCAAGTGTGTCATGATCAACATGTTGTAAAGGATCCAAATTATGTCAAAGCTTTTATGATCATAAAATGAGGTCGTTAGGTTTTAATAGAGTCAATATGAATAAACTCATTAAAACAAATTAAAAAATATGAGACAATCTTTGTATGGTTTGGTTCAGCTAATTTGTTTAGGATTACTGATGGCTAAATTGGTAATAAAAATTATAAATAACAAATAACATTTAAGGATCTGGTCACTGTACCAGAGGTCAAGAAAACAATAAAAAGAACACTTGAGGATATAATAACTTAAATATTTAAATAATAATTTTAATTACTGAATAATGTAAATATTGTACATATATTATAGTTCTATGTATAATTTATTAACATAAAACTATATACTTATGTTAGTTATACATGGAAAATATTTATAAATGCATGAAAGAATAACTATTCTTAATTTTTATTAATTATTTAAATAAGAAGAACATATTGCATTTTATATAATATATTTCATTTTGTTTTAAGTACAAAAGGTTAAAAAATTACAGTAGTTAATTCATAAAATAATACATTAGATGTTTGTTGATCTATCAAATAGAAGATGTAATTTTATCAATTTTAAATTATCATTATAATAATAAATCTATTATCAAAATATGTTAATTTGAGTGAAATTTATGAATAAATTTCACCTACTTCTATGATTAATACCATCTAAGCGTACAATTTCAGTCATTTAAGGATTTTAAACGTAGACAATGGCGTAGATTTCGTAGGTATATTGGACTTGCTTAATTTTGTCAGCTACAACAGCCAAATGGATTTCAGATTGGCCGATTCCTCCGGAGACGATGAAAGCCTGTCCAACCTCAGAATCTTGTAGGACTTCGACAGAGGCGTAGGTGACGGAATAGGGTACTTTTCCGGGGAAGTTGAATTTCAGGGCAACATCTTGGCGGGTTGGGGCGTTGTATACATCAGTTGCGCCGACCATCAATTTGTCGCCTGGGAAAGACATAATAATTAATATATTGATAGAAATTTTTTTTTCATTTCTTATAATACAGAATTCTATATTACTGTAACCCAGTAAACAAAATTATTTACTGTAAAGGTATTAATCGAGACTATTCATCTCGGATCAACAAGAAAGGATCCTGGTATTGGACCTCATATGTTCATGATTGCCCCGGATTTTTGAAAAATATGGGTATCTTTACAAATACTTTTTAATAAAATTATAATAAACCAGCAAATATCTTATAAAATGATATTTATCGTATGTTCAAATGAAACAAAACAAAAAAGCAAAGCAAATAGAAAATTGCTGAGTGCACAAACCAAAAGTTTGATTAAATTGCTTCACTTTAATGAGCAGAAACTACCTTTTTCGTATTTAAAAAATTAAAAAAAAATCTGATTGTCTGCCTAAATTTTTTTATTAGACAAACGATAAGTTAGAAGTTGAAAAAAGCACACCAACACTATTTTACTAAAGGTAATTATGAAAAAAAAGTACCAAAATTCATACGATGATTGATTGCTAGCAGTCTATAAATATTATAAATATAGGTATCTTGAATTCCCAGGTGAACTTACTTGACTGCACTATTATAATAGTTCAGTCAAGTAAGTTCACCTGGGAATTTGAGATACCTAAAACCTACAAATGATAGGTACACCCTACCATGTGTAGGTTTTGAGACAACTTTTTAGTGTTAATATACAAGTATTTACAGACTTACAGCTGGGTATCTCGAATTCCGAGATTTTTACCTAATTTAAGTTTAAATGACTGGACTATAAGAAGACATTATGGAGAAAAGTATAAAAAGTTGTAAATTCAGAAATTCTTAGAAAAAAAATTATTCATAGCAAAAACTTTATTATATCCTTAAATGGCACTTATTATGTATAATTTTTATTAAAAATATGATTTATATTTATATTTAACTATGGTCCTAAATCATATTAGTCATATTAGATAGCATATTTATAAGTCCAGGATTTGCAAAGAAAAATGTGAAACAAACATGGTCTGAATGTTAATTTTGTAAAGTTACGAACCTCAAATTGTTTCATTAAATATTAGCAAAATATGTTAAAATTGTTTCAATTTCCTACATGAAAAAGTGTAATTTATTAAAATTGCTTACCTTGTACTCTCTCCCCAAATTCATAAGTAGCTTTACCATCATCAATGTGGGTCTTGTCAGCGGGCTTGGCTTGCGGGTACTTCTTCAGAATTTCGCTATATAAATTGAATATTTATATTATAATAAAGTACAATAAAAAAGGTCAAATAAATTTAAAAAATATAATTACCTTTCACTGCTGAAAACCTCAACTTCTACGGATTTGTCCACTGGTAGACATGTGGAAAGAGTTGCAAAACACAACACAAACATTAAACCGTAGAATTTCATGATGATTGTTTAGTTAATATTCTAAAAGAATACTAAACGGTAAAAGCACTTTTAATTATGATAGCTTATATGGCTGTCATGCGGCAGTTCAAAATGAATATGCTCAATCAAGTAATTTCATATTCTTATATACCAAATTATAATCTCTTTACAACGAGATATTATGTACTTGTTTTTTGATCAGGGTGCGATATGATTTTAATTAACAGTAATTAATATATCGTTAAAGATAAATTTTGTATCAATAATATTTGTCTATTGAACAGTTCATTGAAAATATTGTTTACTACACTGTTTATTAAATTATCTAGATGTGATCTGGCGGTTTCGATTTTATCGCCAGTCGCACGGATACAAGATTAAACTCATATGTGCAAAACAAGGCACTTTTGCGAGAGTAAAGTCACATATATGCAAAACATGCTCGCTAATAAGGTAAACATAAAATCGTACTGTAGGTGTCTGCATAAACTGGATTCAATGGAATTATAACAAATAACTTAAATATTTATTTACTAAATCTAGACTTTTGATTGTGTATACCACGCTATGTACATAAATGCTTAGCAAAATTATGTTAACCATTGAAATCTCGGTAATACTAGTGTAATAAATTCTAAATTAAACATTTTGAAATTTTTTCAGAGCAAATTTGAAAATTTTGAGAGCATTTCTAACAATTTCTCTAGGATTACATCGCATTTCATTTATAATAAATCATATAATGATGCAAACTACCATAAGACTAGAGTCGACTCTAGTTGTCTTGTCGAGTATTTTATTAATACTCGCCTTTTCTCTACAAATCTATAATTATGAAATAAGTAAATATTCTGTAGGCCTATATAAACATGGAGCTTTAGAAAACTTCAAAGAAATGTGTATTTTGGAACAGTTTTATTTACAAACGGTATGATCTTCTTAGTTTGCATCAGCATCATTTTATATGATGATTTTATATTATGATTTATAAAATAATAGCATAATTCGAGTATTTCTAGTTCAAATTTGCTCGAAAAAAATTTTTTCAACGTTTAATTTAAAATCAATAGTTGTAATTCTTTCTTAATATTTATCAATGTAATTTACTATATTGTATAGAAAAAAATATTTATAGTAAATAATAAGGATAACTACTTTTTTCATAATTTCAATTCAAATTATCAAACAAACAAATACTATAAAAAATCAATATATTTTCTAATGTTTAATGCTGATTGTATTTAGGATTCACAGAATTATATGACATTATAACAATATAATTTATATTATAATTTAACATAAAATTCACCTTGCATATAATTTACATATATACCTTACATAAGTTACATATTACATGTAAATATTATTTTTTACGAATCTTAAATAATTAACAATAATATACTTAGAAATTCAGCAAATAAGAAAATTTCCTGAATTTTAAGAAATTTGTATTATTCGATATTTTATTATTGCTCTAAGTTATATATGTGAATTTTATGTTCTAGGACTCCTAAATAGTTAAAAATAAATATTATTTAAAAAAATATAGTTTACATACTTTAATCTAAGTTATTAGTCAATTGAATAAGTCACATATTACAAGTTTAAATGTAAATTATATGTTTTGTGAATCTTAAATAATTAACAAAAATATTAGAAATCATATTGAATATTGAAGAGTATTAGGTAATTCGATATTTTATTGTTGTAAAAGTTGTACATGTATAAATTATATATGATCTGTGAATCCTATAGGATATATTTATAAATATAATTTAGAATAAATTTTAGAATTTAGATTAAATTAAGATTCACAGAACATATAATTTACATCTATAACTTTATAAGTTTCGTCTAAATAATTATTAAAAATATTGAAAATTATTCAGATTTTTTAGGAGTATTTTATAATTGCACATTTTAAATTAAAATTGAAACAAAAGTACACGTTTGCAGTCAACCTCATTATTTTTTTATTAACTATTACTTGTAAATGCAATAGTTATTATTATTTATTATATGCAATAGTAAATTACATACATAATATTATTCATTCATAGTGCTTTATTAAAATCGCAAAGACCAGATAAAAATACATAAACCTATCGTCATAATTTTCACAGGACAATTGGTTTTAAGTGCACAATAAAACTTATATATTCAATTACCCATTCTTATTCTTATTTTAAATTCATTCAATTGATGAAATAATATCTTGATAGTTCGGCTACATACTTAGATAGAAATTAATAGGGCTTGTTGAAGCAATTATAAAATTCTAATCTATTCAGTCGTTCCAATACAATTTGTGAGGAATATATTTTCACAAATAAATAAAATCATCATTAAATTGATTATAAAATATAATTATTTTCCACGTCAAACTTACTTTTTATGACACACAATTATCGTTCGATCACAACGACTGGGTGTCGTTGATTTTTATCATTCACTCCAAATCGTGTTACCATGAGACGCCTATTATAGATAAACCAATATGTAAAAATTTTCCTGTATTTTCATAATCGTTCACATATTTGCTAAAAAAATATTTAAATATTAAAACAGGTTAAATATATTACCTAAGTACCTTGAAAAAATAATTATACACTGATTCATGTAAGTAAAAAAATTATAGGTGATAGTAGAAGGTCTTTCAAATTATTTTATTTTTTAAATATTGGGTTTTAACATAGTCAACAATCATTTATGATCATTTATCATTTATTATTATTATTATTATTATTATTATGACCTCCCCAAAGGATGTTATATTTCTTAATGACCTTTTATAACCTTCGACCTTGACCTTAATCTTATATTGCAAGAACCCTAGTAGAGGCTGGTGGGGAGATGGCTTTAGCACTGAGGTTATGCAACCTTTTGGCGACATTACAATATGCCTATTGTAAGGTCTTTCAAATTATTTTATTTTTAAATATTGAGTTTTAACATAGTCAACAATCATTTATGATCATTTATTATTTAACTTTTAACAAAAAATCTAAGGGCTCGAGCCTAGATCCGGTGGACCTCCCCAGAGGATGTTATATTTCTTAATGACCTTCTATAACTTTCGACCTTGACCTTATATTGCACTGAGGGTTATGCAACCTTTTGTCGACATTACAATATGCCTATTGTCGTTACAAAATATATGATTTTATTTTTCTGAACTCATAATTTAATTTTTAGCGAGTGTTTATATAATTGCATAAACACGTGAGATTAAATAAAAACTTTCGTTTTTTGTTAATCCCGAAGAATAGATATCTTAAAACTCCAAAACGTAGAAATAATTATAATTTTTTTTTTGAAAAAAAAGAGGCGTTTTATAAAAATCAAAAACAAGCTATATATTTTTATGATGAATATGTGTATATATAAAATACATTCTTTATGATTTCATTTTACTGAACTCTGAACCTTTCCTTTTTTCAAAAAAATATTTACTTAATTTTTTCTTTATAATTATTTATGTTTTCAAGATATTTTCAAGATGTATATGGAATGTATTCCTTCTTCAAGAACTGTTAAAATTGAAGGAAATTTAATATTACCATTGAAGTGTTTAAAGGAAAAATGTTTGAAAATTAGACTTGCTAAAAATAAAATGATAATAATCCATTTAGAACTTTAATTGATATCATTATAATGATCTGGATTACAGTAGGTGTGCATAGATGCGTTTATAATATGAAAGAACATCGTGTAATTATTCTAAAAATATTTGAAATAACTAAATCAAATAATTATCTAATACTTTACATGTGTTTTAAATATCATAGAAAACTTCGACCTGTTCAATTAACAAAAATAAATGAACATGTTCGAACCTTATTTGTACAACGGTATTCTCAGAAATATTATCCTATAAGAAGCGAATGATGTTCCGATTTATGATTCATAGAACGTGCTTACATGTTGAAATAAGAAAATATTACAGGTCAATAATCTCCAGAAGAAAATTATGTTATTATAAACACCGTAATATTTTGATCTTGAAGTGTACTTTGTTTTTTCTTAAATTAGGCATATTATTTTGTCCTATAAAATATTATTAATACTTGTACTTATCGCTTGGATAGTGTTAAGGCGGAATTTTGTATTATTCATTATGCAAATATACATAATTATTAAAGTATTTATTCTAGTTATCAGTGCCAAACCTAGTATTAGATCATGTTCTTAAGAAAAAATACGCAAGTTTGAAGTAAATTATTATGGGATCGAAATTAGAGGAATTAGTACATAAATAAGATAAAGTGCCGATAGTCGTTTCAAGCGATATTGACTTTTAAATATTTTACCTTCAATGTATTATGGTAATTTACGCTTTGATAAAACTTGGTTAAGATTGAAATTTTATAAAAAAAAAATTGATCTTTCTTATTTCTTTAGACTTGAAAAATCCAAAGTACGAGCTCTTCATTTGAAATAGAAAATGCTTTTGTGATTCTTAATAGTAAAAAATGTCTTAACTGGAGATGCAGTGTTTTTTTAAATAATTATTTAAATAGTTAGTGTTAAAAGGAGAATCATAAAAATAAATAGTTCAAATAATCAAATTCAAATTTCGAGCCACAAATGTTGTCCGAGTGTTAGATCTGGCAATACTTCAGATTAGACAACACAATGAGCCTGAAGTCAATTCACAACCAATCAAATTAGTTGTTTTTGTTTTTGAATGCGCGAGTGTGTGACTTATGCGTGAGTAATAGGTGTAATTAAAACATACCAGGATACGTAAGCTACAGAATAAGGTTACACCATTGTGATTAAATATGTGCCTTAGATCAAGAAACAGTTAATATGGTGTTAAATACGAACCTCAGGGATAAGTGGATCGCTGAAACTTACGCTTATAAACTGAATCTGTGGCTAAAATGGCTACCGAAATGTGGTCGTGCTCTTGTTGTCCAGAGGCATTTACATGCTGGCTACGCTTTAAATTGACACCTGAAGAGATAGAACAGCGTATGAAAAGTCGGGAAATTGATCGTGTCATCGAAAAAGATAAACAGACTTATAAACGCCAAGTTAAACTGTTGCTTCTAGGCGCGGGTGAAAGTGGAAAATCTACTTTTCTGAAGCAAATGCGAATTATCCACGGCGTTCAATTCGAACCAGAACTTATTAAGGAATACCAACATGTCATTTATCAAAATATTGTTAGAGGAATGCAGGTGCTCATTGATGCACGGGACAAATTAAATATTAAATGGGAGTGCCCCTCAAATCAAGTGCCTTCTGACCAAGTCAGGACGTTTCTTACTGGGCACAGTCTTGACATGAAATTATTCCAAGAATATTCTAGGCCAATTGAAATGCTTTGGCAAGACAAAGCAATAAAGCAAGCTTATGACAGGCGTAGGGAATTTCAGCTTGTAAGTGTCTCAAAATCACATATTTATTTCAGCAATATTATTATTACATTATCCGAGTGCATTCTGATTTGTGCAACCCTTTATTGTAAAACATTAGTGATAAATGATGCAAGAGTATTATGAAATTTCTTCATAGCGATTGGTTTAAGAGCACAATCAAAAATACAATATAGTTAATCCATATTTCCTTATTATTCATAAAACTACTTAATTGCCTACATAGACAATATGTCATTTTTGTCTTAGTTCTTTTATATTTCTGAGTTTAAATTTGAAATGATTGAACTATATAATTATCTTTTTAGAGTGATTCAGTACAATATTTCCTGGATGAGATAAAGCGCATTTCATGCAATGATTATTTACCAACACACAAAGATATCTTGCATTGTCGGAAAGCCACAAAAGGAATTTTTGAATTCTCAATAAGAATTAATAACATACCATTTTTGTTTGTTGATGTTGGTGGCCAAAGGACACAACGCCAGAAATGGACACAATGCTTTGATTCTGTCACATCAATACTTTTCCTAGTCTCCTCTTCTGAGTTTGATCAGGTTTTATCAGAGGACAGGTAATATATGAATACCTAGTGACAGAAATATATGAAAAATATAAATATGAATAAAATGTCAATCAAGTTACAAAATGAATATAAAGAATAACTTTAATAAATAGTAAATTATCCCATCAACATTTTTCAAACTTTAATAGTTTTCACATTGCATTCAAATGATTATTTTCATTAAACTTGAAATTTTCATTAGTTTTTATTTGTTTCCATCACTTGTTTCAGCATATGACATATTACTATTGTTTTATTGCAGAAAAACCAATAGACTCGAGGAGTCCAGGAATATATTTGATACTATAGTCAACAACATACACTTCAGTGGAATTTCCATAATTTTATTCTTGAATAAATCAGATCTGCTGGTAAAAAAAGTAACAAATCCTGATACTGATATTCGCTGGTATTATCCTCAGTTCACTGGTAATTCACATTCTGTGCATGATGTACAGGCTTTTATATTATCAATGTTTACTAGAGTTAAGAAAAATCCCAAAATGTCTTTATACCACCATTTTACAACTGCGGTGGATACACAAAATATTGAAGTTGTTTTCAATTCTGTCAAAGACACAATACTGCATAGAAATTTAGAATCTCTAATGTTGCAATAACGATATGAATTAATTTTATATCATGTATTTTTACAATATGAATTTATTGTTGCAATGTGCGCTTCCTTCAAATAATTTTCTATTTAATGACTGCCTAACATTTTGAGTAAAGCCATTCATTTATATTGAAAATATAAAAAAGTGCCTTTAACACAGGAATCCTCTGAATAGTTACAAATTATTGTCAGTCATTACACAAAATAAAGTAAGACAGCTTATTTGTAATAATAAGTGCCTTAAAAGACCCATAATACTCAAATCTTGAATATATTTATATTACATAGTGCACAAATAACAATTTGCTAAATATATTTTTCTGAGACCAAAAATATTTACACAAGCTCGATTTAGTAAATTTCATACAATAATAAATGGAGCCTTCAAAAAAAATATTTATTTTTGGTTCACTGAGTATTTATAAATTTAGAAAATGTAAAATATTGTAAGGATATATTTAATGTAAATACTACATAGGATTGCATTTAAATATATTGAAAGTTTTTTTTTGGTAATTGATATTATTGATAACAAAATGTGATGTAAATAAAAATAAATTTATTATCTTGTTCAAATGTTAATATAATTTATGTTACTACAGGTGTTATTTTAGTTTTATATCAAATTGTTCAAATAGATTTATTTACACGAGATAGAACTTTGTTTTCATATCTACATTATGAAGTGAATAAAATTGAATATATTTATATTACCACATTACAGTAGAAAATCTATCTTTATATTTGTTATAATTTATCAAAGACAAAGCCGTTACACTTGTGGGTGAAAAACATTCCAATTTCGACTGTGCAAACTCAAAAATTGTATAATAAATAATACTTTTATATATTTAAAGAGATTAATATCTTTTGTCTGTTTGTGTAAGCTGTGTATGTTTGCATGCGTACGTCCTAGTTTATTTTTATTCATTGTGAATTTAAGTGATGTATTTGTTTGCACTTTCTAAAAATTGTTAAAAAACAAAAGAGTATATATATATATATATATATATATATATATATATATATATATATATTCATACGAGTATTCAAATATAACATACTCAAAAATATTTTCATTGAGTATATGTATAAATTGCATGCTATTTATATCATAATTATTTAATTGTTACACACACATATATATTTTGTTTGACTTATTTATCGCAAAATAATTCTTAAATTGAAATTATTTTATATTAAATTGATTCTTTTTGAATTTTTGAAATATATTTATCATAAATAAAAATAAATGAAAATGCTATGTTAAATGAAAACTTGCAAATAAATAGTTAAATAACGATACAAAATATATTACTAACAGAATATATCTGATCAAATTATATATGTTGTATATATGTAACAAAAAATCAACATCATTGTAACTCATTTTTTGTAAAATATTTATCTGTAAATACAATAATAAATATTTTATACTAAACTACGACTGTTTCATGCTTCGACCATTTGCTGATTAGATAATTTATAATAGATTCAGTTTTTAAATTAATAATAAGATTAAATTATATTATTTTAAAAAATGCAAATATTTTTCATGAATTTATTTTATTAATTCTGAGACTAAGCAGTTTCGATTTTATGGATCGAGTATTTTAATATACTTTTAAGCTGAGGAAAGAATTTATTTTAAGGAAATAATAGGTAAAACACTATATATATATATATATATATATATATATATATATATATATGTATATATGTATATATATGTATGTATATATGTATATGTATATATGTATATATATATATATATATATATATATATATATATATATATATATATAAATAATCCTGTGTTTACGGGGTATCGAATAAACATTTCTTTTATGGATTCTATACTATTTTACTATTTATACATTCACATTGTAAAATTTCTGTTTCATACAATTTTTTTAAAGAGCCCCAAAATTCCCAAAACCGTCACAAACAAAATGAAAGGACCTTCCTAACATTGATTCAATTTATATTGCTATACAATACACATGCATAAATGACATTATTATATTATATCTACTAACCTGCAGAAAGGTCTTCCAACTTCCAACAAACACAGAATGAAACATTTTTAAAGATAAAACTTTTTATGCTCACTTTTGAATGTCACAGTTTGCACTATAAGTCAGGAGATGTTAAACAATATTTACATCCGCGCCACTGCAGAGGAAATGCGCAACTAACAAGTAAAATAATGGTGAAGTTGTATGCAATTTATATATAAACCATAATATACTTTGTTAGGGTACGTCCAGTGGCGTCGGAAGCAAATTTTTGATGGGTGGGCTCGCTTTTGTTTTGGTTGGCAGCCAGTGGGTTCGTTTTTTTTTGAGTTAGACATATTAGGCCCTATCATATTTTGAGATTGATGGGTGGGCTCAAGCCCACACTGCCCACACGGTTCCGACGCCACTGATCAATTGTTTAGGAATTTTTGCCCCCTCACCGTCGTAATACGTAACGATATTTATGATTACCCCTCCTCCCTCACTAATATCACGTGTAGTTTTAGTTACGTAAAATTTTTGTTTTTATTTTGAAAATTTAGATTAATATCTTACTAAACCCCTCCCTCTCCTACGTGATGTTTCGTGATTTTTTGTCAAACCTACCCTTACCCTAAAAGCCCTACGTGATTATTGGACGCACTCATAGATAAAAGAAAAGTATGGAAGCACCCTTATTGAGTCTAAAAGAATATGCAGATTTAATTTTAAATTTATTCCGTGTAAACTATCACATACATTATCAATCTAATCAAATAATCAATTAGTCAGAATAACGTCTAAATAGATTAAGAATAAATTGTCGAAACATTTTTAAATCCATAAAATTGAGCAGCAAAAGACAAGGTGTATGTAGATGTCGCACTAATCAATACATGCATCTGTTTTTGACCAATACCGCCTCCAATGATCATTGCACTTCCTGCTCCATCGTGGACGGCCAAAATGTTAACATAAGTAACTGGATATCCAGGCAAACCTTTTTTGGGATGGCTTGCTGCCAAAGACATGTCCATCGGGAAAGGCGATGTGAAAAAATCGGAAGGCGAATCGACAAGTACATCACCTACGGAGAAATAATTATTTAATAAATGATCATTTTATAAAAATTATGTTAATCTAAACGTTTGGAACTGGAAAATCTAGATTAAGTAGCATTATGTCTTAGCAAAAGCTAATCAGCAGCAAAATCCAAAGGTTTTGGAATTCGTAATCTGTGGATTATATAGAAACAACTGGGCTGATAGTTAGGCAAAACTAATCACTGCGAGTCATTATCCAGTAATTCATCAAACAACTCTTAAATTTTTGAAATCGATGCACCCAAGTTTTGGCTCACTTGTGAGTATCACAAATCAACTTTGGTATCAATTGAATTGTTTAACAATTCAGAATAACTTAAAATTCCAGGAAACAAAATTAGCAAATCTGATTCTCTAGTTACTTAAAGGTCGAGTTAAAATTCTAATTAATTACTACCTGATTGTCTTTGTCCATATGTATAAAGTTTTGAACCTCTTGCTCCATCAACAGCAATGATTTCTTCGTTCATTGGTATGGCATCTGGATACTTGGCCAGAATTTCACTAATAAAATAATAAAATTCAATTACAGTCCAAATCTAATTAAACTAGTTTTATAAATTCTTTTAATGTCTTCATAAACTAACCTTTTATCAGCAAATACTTCAATATTTACTGAGTTTTCCACCGGCACGCACATGGAAACCGCCAACGAGCATAATACCACAAATGTGGGAAGTTTGTACATGGTTGCAGAAGCTTATGGAACTACTATAAAATATATGCAAAATTCACACTGCCTTTGTCTTATATATAAATTCTATCAATATTCTAAGATTATCCATATCTCACATCCGGTTTTTATCTAAAAAAAAACTAATCCAATTTTGTCACATCGCAAAAACTTAATGTATTATCAATGTATCTTGTACAATCTTTTAATATAATATCATGTCAGGATGATACGGTTTTATATATTATCAATTTTGGTATGAATCAGTGCCAATGATCGAGATAGATCTAAAATTAATTCTTTGAAAGAAAACAATTCTTATCTGTCGATAATGAAAAGTCAGTATCTTTGTAGAAAAAAGATTATTTGTTTAGATATTATTTTAAAACAATCTGAAATCTGTGCTTTGTATGAAACAAACTCTCATAGTTACATGATTATTATATCAAACGACATCTTATATTAGTGAGGGTCATTTTTTGGTCATTGGGATACTTTGCAATTCTGGTTTTATGAGTTACTTCAAGAAACTTCACTGAAGAAACCATAACTAAGAAGAAAATTTCGAGTCAATGAAAATTTAACGTTTTTAAAGAAACCATAACTCGGGTGCAAAATTTTCAATAAAGATTTTTCCCCATTTATTTAAATATCTCATGTTTTCTTGTCTGGAAATTTGCATTATGTTAAGTTGATTGAAGAACAATAAATTTTCATTAAAAAATTAAAATTTATTTATTTAAAAACCATACCATTCACAATTGTAATTAAAAGTTCTGGTATCATATGCACTGACTACTATTTTGATTTCCCTCTGGCCAATTCCTCCACTCACAACATGAACTTCCCCGTCTTTTGTATCTTGGGTAATTTTGATATCAACAAAGGTTAAAATTGCTCCTTCGCCTTCAGAAGGATATGTTAAAGTCATCTCAACATCTTGGGGAGTTGGCCAAGAATGCGAATCATAAGCTTCTCCCACTAAATGATCACCTGGATAAAGTTTTAGGAGAAGATGATACATTATGATCCATTCATTAACTAAATATAGTATAAATTTCATTATAAAAATCATAATTAAAATTAATCTATTTTCTATGAAAAAATACAGAGTTAAATTAGATAAATTTTTCACCTGGTTGATTTGTTCCTAAGATGTAATGATTTTGTTTTCTAGTTTGTACTTCATTGATCGATGTTGGACGCCATTGTTTGGTACTGAAAATATAAAATATAGAAAAGTTGCCAGTTAGTAAGTTATTTTATATTTTTTTTATATTAATTATTTATAATTACCTATTACTTCTTGAAAATTCTACTTTTACATTTTGGTTAATTAAAAATCCATAAATGACGTCCACACAGCACCAGAAGAAAATAAAATATAAATATTTCATATTCCTAACGTATTGACGTAGATGAGCATCCAATCATAATATTGTTCTCAATGAATCAATACTTATTTTATAGCGATTTTTTAATGATAAAGTATATATATATCGGATTTTTAATCTCGACTTCTATATAGATATCTTTTGGATTTTCGCAAATGTATAACCACATTGAATTACTTTACAATTTTATTATTTTTTTTTAAATTTGTGAAATCGTTTTTCTAAATTTATAAACGTGGTATCTACTGTTTTGTAGATGTTTTTCAAATCGTTATTATTTAAAACGAATAATTTTTATTAAAAATCTGAAATTTTTAGGGTGTACAAAACGCTTTATTTTAAAAAAAAATCAGATTCTTCATTTTTTAGGCAAATTTTAGTGTCTATTTTAATCCCTTGTCTAGTATAATAATATTTTGTTTTCAAATTTGAACATTACAAATAATAAGTTTTATTAAAATTATATTTATAAGCCGACCTTGGTAAGAAAACTACTGTTCCGAAGTTCGATTTCAACTTCGGCCAGTTTGATATCAAGCAGTATTTGAAATATCAAGTAAAAATTGCTACAGGATCTTACTGCAAAGAAATACTAAAGTTCTATTTTATAATAGTTTGTTAAAAATATATCACAACTAGAAAGGACAACTTTTGAATTAAAAAAACAAATTTATGAATGTTTTTATACAATAATAGAAAGATTGTGATAGAAATATAAATAGAAAATATTTATTTATACTTTTATTTGATTTATGAAATTAATAATAATTCATTTGGGTTAATAAAAAGTAATATTTTTGCATATAACTATAAGTATATGCAGTTAAATGTTATCATCGTAAATAATTTTGTATAGTTTAAAAAACATTTTAAATTTAAAATCATGAAAATTATTAACTTTAGTAACAATGTAAAAGATTTTTAAGAATAGATGTCTTTTTTTATGATCCATCATATATCTTTTAATGATGACTTGTTATTAAACAGCGTCGAGATAAACAACTAAACAAGCGTAAATGATTAATAGTTACAATTCACATTTGAATTCCGTAAAATTTAGAATTAAAACTAAAATTTCTAGTGTTGTAAGCTACTATAACAATAACTATATTCCTTTGGCCGATCCCACCGCTGACTACATATCCTTCTCCTTGATCTGTGTCCTGGGTTACCAACACTTCCAGAAATGTTAAAATAGCACCCTCGCCGGTTCGAGGGTATTGCAGGGTCAATTCCACATCCTGAGGGCTCGACCAAGATGCGGAGTCTTGATCTTCATCTACTAAGCCATCGCCTGACAAAAAATTGGTATAATCAATATTCATTAACACACTTGGTTAATTCCTATTAATTATGGAGTGCAAAAAATGGGAAAAGGGTAGACAAGAACTATGGAGGGAAATAGTAAGGAAAAATATCTCTTTTCCAACAATAACATTGTTGAGAAAGGAAAGGATATATATATATGGTGCACTATACAACTTAAAATTTAAAATCTGTTAGAAAAATATCAGTTGTGATCGTATTGATTAAATATTTTGATTTGAATTGTTATGAAACTATGTATTATGATTAATATATGTCGTCGTCTTAACAAACATAAAATATAGACCTACAAATAGTGATTTACTTATTAATTATAAAAATTCATTAAAGTTTGGAATATTGAACAGCATCAAAATTTCAACATATTATCACAGTTTAAAAATGGCTAAATCTGAATTCTTATTGATTAACATATCTAAAAAATTCAATATATGATCCTTAAAAAAACTCACCAGATACCCTTTCCCCCAAAGTGTATCTTATTTGAACTTTGGCATTTTTGGATTTGTCAAATTTGATTGCCCTTGCTTCAGGATATTTCTTAAACACTTCACTAAAAATAAAAGAAAATCACTTAATCTCATGAAAACTATATTTATATATTCTAAACATTTCTATATATTACCTTTTACTAGACAAAATTTCAACTTTCACATTATTTTGCGTAGAGTGCGTGAAAATTACATCAACACAGCCAAGTAGAAGTAGACAACATAAAAGCTTCATTTTTATAGTTAAACACTGTTACTCAAAAGCTTTAATTTCAATCTGTTTTCACCTTTTTGTATACATGTCTTTTATAGGAAAATTATTACCTCTTGTATTTGGGTGTGCCATAATCTTCTAATAATTGGCATTAATTTTGACCAATAAATACATTCAATAAATCCCTTCAGAGTCAAAATATAACAGTCTAGACTTGAAAAGATTAATAATTTATCAAAATTGCATACAAAAATTGATAAGGGCAAAATAATTTTGGTTTATTATATGTATAAAAGTGCATTAGTTAAGTAATTTATGAGTATAGATTAAGATTATTATGTCCAAATATAATCGCATTCGGTGCAAAATAATATTTGTATTTAGGTGTATAAATACATGATACACTGAATACCTGCATTGCTGTAGCTTGTGTTACAAAGAATAAGACGATAGATATATCTATCCATTATCTACATATATATATATATATATATATATATCGTATATATATACATATATATAAATAAGTCGGGATTTCCTTCCTGACGATTTGACTCCAGAACGCGCAAACCGATTTCGACAATTTTGCATTCGTTAGAAATGTCTCGGGCTTCGCAAGGTTTATAGCTAAGAAAATTAGTGGTGCATAGCATCGTGCCATAATGCAAATTGCTGGAACTTCACGCACCGTAATTAAAAATTCGAGTAATGACATTAGTGAGAATTATCAGAATTATGCTTGGTTAAGTCAACGAGCAATTCTTGCCGCAAAGAATAATGATGTACACGCACTGAATTTCACCATTCAATCAAAAATTGCTGGCAATTTGGTGACATACCAATGATTCTGACTGGTCTTCCGTTTGACCGTTTTGATATGTAATTATGGTCCCGATTTTTTAAGGAATATCAATATATACATTTATATATCGCTTTATACGCCACTTATGGAACTATCCACGGATTTAGTTTCATATGAACCCGGTAGTAACTACGTAGTTCCTCACAAATTGGGAACGATTCTGCATAGAGGCGCTGCATGCAATCGCCGTAGGAACTTAGGAATCTTATTATTAGTGGATTCCTATTGGATTCCTTTATATGCAATTAGATATATAATTATGGTCCCGGTTTCGAAGGAATATCAATATATACATTTATATATAGGTTTATACTATATATGTTCCACTCTTATTGAGATTTAAAACATAATTTGCCGTAATTATTATAAGTATATTTACGATAATTACGGGGTATACAGAACTATAACCATATGTATTTATAAAATATAATAGAAAAATCTATAAAATATATTGTATAATATACAAAATACTGAAAGGGTTTTCAAAAATATCACTTATCGTCCATAGATTTGAGCATTATAGCTCAAGAATGTCGTGTGTACAGCTTGTACAGCAATAACAATCCTTCTTTGTCCTATTCCTCCACTAACAACATAAGCATTGCCGATATTTGTATCTTGAACGATTCCTATACGAAGGTAAGACACAACCGCACCATTTTCAGAAGTGGGATAGGTCAATTCCAGCTTAACGTCTCGGGCATCTGGCCAAGAATAGGAATCGGTTCCAATGGCTACAAGCTGATCTCCTGAAAAAATAGATAGTTTATTAATGAAATATCAAAATTAAATAGTAGAAAACTAATTTAAATATAGATTAATATAAAAATTAGACTTGCAGCAAATGTTCGCCTAACTCACCTGACTGAACACCCAAATATTAGGCAAAACTATTTGGCCGAATGTTAGAACCAAAACTGGCACACACGTAATTGTTAAATATTATTGGTCTATACTAAATATTATTCAAATATTGTGTTAAATTATCAAATTTCTACTAGTCTTACCTGGCACTCGATTTCCTAAAGTATACGTGAGTTGGACTCTTCCCGTAAATAATTCTTCTTTCTTCAACTCAAGATTCTTCGCATGAGGGTACTTTTCAAGCAACTCACTACAAATTATTCAAATTAAAGTAACATATTACAATTATTTGAAAATGAAATTATATGTACCTTTCAGTAGCAAATAAAATGACATTTATTTCATATTCATTGTCGATTTCATAGTCGTCGATCAGGAAACCTGAAGACACCAATGGTCCAAAAATTAAAAGAGTTAAAATCAAAGATTTCATTTTGTTAATAAATATTATATTAAATCAGAAGCAATGATTGCGGAAAACTGTACACATTTCATGATATTCGTCTTCTTTTATATCCATATAAAAAAGAATACATATTTGCAGATAACATAATAAGTGTTTACATTTAGTTTTTTTCCTTATTGCCTTTTCTGAGAAGTATGTTTATTTACATTCAATATTTAATTTATATCAGACATTTTGAATTTTATTCAATTAAAGACTGGTAAAAAGATTATAATAAAACGTATGAGTACGTAAATCACAAAAAGAAACATATGTTTCTTTCGTTCATAGGTCAATATGAAGTCTCAATATCTCACCACCTCTTATATCAAGGTGTACTAAATAATAAGAATTATTTGCAAAAAAAATTATGCTCTGTTAACGTAAAAGAAGAAATAATTTGCATTACGTCGAATAATATAAATCATAATATTTATTAAATATTTGAAGTCAAATAATATGTCACAGTACGAAAACAAAATAAAATCATTTTTAGTTTTATATGTACGAAATTATTTTTTCTACTTTTTATATACAATAATGCCAATATTGTGAAACAACAATATTCGTTATTTGTACAAGTTCTAACCAACATTTTGATTAAAATTGAATAAAAATCCAATCCAATGATATCGCACCCAGGTAAACTAATGATTTGATTCTTAACATCCCTATAAGGATAATACAATCTACCATATTATAAGTTTAAATTTAAATATTTCTTATAAGATCTTTGGTGAAATAATTGATATATCTAGTTGTATTATTATTTTTTAAAGTTCTAGTCTCTGATGCCGGTAGAATCAGTTTTTCAGTGTGATGAAAAAACAAGGTGGCACCAGCGCTAGCGCGTCGGCACCAGCCGTGCTGGCTAATAAATCAGGAACAACCTGGAGTCAAGATTCTTTCAAAAAAAGGCCCATTAGCAGAATTCCGTCTTCTATAAATACGAAATCCTCTTCACAGGTAATAGGAATTACGCAATAAGCCGGGTAAAAATTGATAAATTAATATTGCAGATAAAAGTAACTTATCTTTATTTATAGGCTAAACCTCGTTCTACATTAGTTCGCAAACTATCTTTAAGCCAATTATCAAAAAGTGCATCAGGAAACAGTTTGGAAACAAATCCAGGTGACACCGAAGCGCACCTAAATAGTCAAGGAGATTCGGTGAAAGCCGAGAGAAAATCTACCGATAATACGGCGAAATATATCGAGGTTAATAAAAAATAAAAAATATTTAAATTGTTTCAACCGGTAATAGTGCTGATTAGTTTTTGGTAGACATTGGCCGGGTCGTTTCTTCGCAAATAATCACTGAAATTTTTTTTGACGTTTTTGGTGAAATATTGAATGTTCATAACAAAATATTATAGGCCTAGTGGTTTATTCATAAAAATTCATCAAAGTTTCTAATAATGTGCAAAGTCAAAATGCAAAAAATATTTCAATTATCCTAGCCCAGTGAGATCAGTGATTCCGGTGAATTATCGCCAGTCCACCACCTGGATCTTCACCGAACGATACATCCAGTATCTGAAGAATCTGAGACAAGTTCAATAGCAATAAAAGAACTGGATACAGATAATTCATCCAATTCATCGAAGACTTTTCAGTCTGACGTGACCACAGATTCAATTGCCGTGAATATATCACAGGATCATTTATTGAAAGTAAAAAAAGAAGCGTAAGTATTGAAATGAAATTGTTTATTTATGGGAATTCAAATTTAGGTAGAACAACTGGATCTTGATTTCAATAACCATGGTGATCAGTCTACTGAAGACGAAAAACATACGGATGATGAAAATGATTCTCCTTCCAAGGCATCGGATTCCACAGACCACCAGGTAATAATAATATATTTCTAACATTAGCATCACATTCCACAAACCACCATGTAAAATTAGTATATTTTTAACATACTCCTATATATAGTACTAAAATTAACTTTTAAAGTCTAATCTTCAAAAAATCCAAACGAATGTGATTAAAGTCCAATGAATAACTACAAGATAAGGCAGAATTTACCATAAATAAAACTATAATATTCTATTTTATACATTTAACATTTTTTTATTTAGGACAAACGTATCCTAGCAGAATTGCAAGAAGCTGATGAACAAGCCAGCCAGACGGTGCGTACCGTCGAAGAATTAAAGAAACGAATTTGTGATATTCAAAATCAGGAATGTATGAGTGAACAAGATAACAGAGAATTGCAGGCAATAAATGGTCAACTTAAAACTGAATTAGTCAAATTAGAGAAAATTACCAGAAATGTAAGTAATCTTAATGGTACAGTAAGAATATCTGCCTATCACAATTATTTCCAGCAATATTAATTATACAAAATTAGCACAATTCTAATGATACGAAATACTATTTATAATTTTACCAAGATATACAAATAATCTCGAGATAATTTAATCCCATGACAATAGACGGATAAATCTATTTTGCATATCAGGAATTTAATTTTGAAGTGAATTTTGTATTTTCCCAAGGTCCAAAGGCTAGTGGGTATTGCTGACATGGTGTCCTTCAGAGAAGCTTACGCTTATGAAATTGAGTTGACTACAGACTCTGCTGATGATGTAAGTTTAAATGAATATTCTTATTGTACTGCTATTAGAGTATTTTATTGAAAAGGTAGAAATAGGTAATAAGAATTTGTCACCTCTGTATTACATACAAAAACGACTGTCCAAGTCGGCAGTCGCCTTAACCATAGAAGTATCCTAATATATCTAGAGATAACGCTGTAGGTCATTATCTCTTTATGATTAAACTACTTCTCGTTGGCTTATCACATTTTAAAGAGTTTTTTTCTGACTATCAACACAATAACCATCCGAAGCTTCATCAAAATCCCAGACAAATTAACCTGATTTTCTTGTGAGTTGATATTTAAATGCATGGAGAACAAAATTCGCTGGCTCAAAATTCACTTAAAAGCTATTGTTTCTCCGGCAAAGTTTCTTGAAATGACCCACAGAATCAGAATAGCAAAGTGCCCTAATGTCTAAACAAAATTTACCCTCCCATCTTTTATAACTATAAGTAAATTTAAGCTAAATCTATTTTTTTATTCATAGAAAGAAGTACCAGTCATCAAAAGAGAACCAGTACAAAAGCCGACAGAAGCAAAGAAAAAGTGTCCCACGCGCAATAAATCACCAAAAATAATCAATGAAGTAAAAACTTTGAATAACGAATTCTTTAATAAGACAAATTCATTAATCAAAACTTCAATAAGTATGTCAACAACTGATGTAATGCCCTCTAAAGAAATGTATATGGAAGATATGCTTCCTAGGGTTATAATATGCGGATCTTCTCCTAGGATAGTAGATAATCATGAGGATAAGGTAGGCAGTATAATTTTAATAATTTTGACAGTGTTTTAATTTGTTATTGTGATTGTTTTTTGAGATGCCAGTCTTTACACGCCAATTACGAGAAAGCTACAACATGCAAGAAAGATTAGCCGCCGATAACGTCGACCTAGAATCAGAAAAATATCGTCTTCAAGAGGAACTCCTGAAAAAAGACCAAGTTTGCGATGCTCTGCAAAGGAAGGTAACTGCTTTGGAAAATGAAATGCGTCTTGTCTCCAAAGATAATGCTGAGTTGTCAGAAAAGTTATTAAAACAAAATAAAGAAGATGATGAAATAGTTTGTGAAGGGCATATGGAATCTTCTATTTTACCAGTACTGAAACAGTGTAGAGCAGAAGCATCGGCGTTGGAAGAGAGATTAGCTGGAACTACTAATGAAATGAGTTGCCTACGTGCTGAATTCGAACAGGTTAATAATAAATGTTCATAAATAATTAGTAGTACTTAGTAATAAAAATATCTAAAAATAAGCAGTAAGAATATAGCCCTACTGAAATTGATTAAGTCGATAACGAATAAGTTTTCACTTAACCTGAATTTGCATTGTCCAAGCAAAATACTTCAACCAAAAAGTATTATTATTAGTACGAGCTAATATAATATATATTTTGTAGATATGCATGCTTTGCATATATAAAATATATTCATGAATACCTTTTCGTAGTCGGTATTCATATATATTTTAGAACGCTATTTTCTCAAAATTACGGAAATGGCTTATTGTTAAAATTATATCAGTATGTTATAATTTAATATTTTAAACAAAAATGATAAATTTTTGTGCCATGCTCTGTAAAAAATGTAAATTTCAAATTCACACGATTAAAATCAGTATATTTTAAATATTTAAATTATATCCATGGCATTTTATGTTAAAAAACAAAAGAAAAAAGTAAAATTACCAAGTATTGATCTTTCATCTGTCAACAAAATTCATGTTACAAATGTCAAATTATAGTTCAATAAATTCAGAAAAAAAACAATAAATACAAAAAAAATATACACACAAAATCCAGATCGCACGTGCAATTAAATTTAAGATAATGCTTTTTTGAATACAAAAAAATCACAAAATTACAAGTTATTTATGTGTTTGCTTATCAATAATGTTACTTCCATCCATTAATTGAAAATGGATCGAAAATTTTCTATGAAAAATTTCACATATAACAAAAATCCGAGCAATTCTTCGATGAAAAGCGATAAATACTCCCGCACTGACGATAATGAGTTCTTAACAAAGTATCGCAACTTTTCACGAAAAATTAGCTATAATAAAATTCCACCGAATGAGAAGAAGACTTTATTAGAAAAATACAGTAAGGATGCTTTAGAAGAAAGTAATTCTTCAATATTGGCAGCAGTTCGTTACCGACATGGTTATTCAAGAGAAATACTCAGGAATGATTGTTCAAAAGCTAGCGTAAGAGATGGTTATGCTAAAGATAAAGTTAAAAATGATTATTCCAAAGGCAGAATATCGAGCGATTTTGCAAAAGAAAGAAGCTTGGATGGATATGCTAAAGAGAGGCTTGGAATTAATTACCCTAAAGATGAGTTTACGGTATGAGTTTGAAAAAGATTGAAATATAGGTTAATTTGAAAAGAAACTACGTGGTGTTTTGCATTGAGCTGAACTTGCCAATAGGTGTAAATAATCAAGATAAAGAATAAGAATTATTTATTAAAAAAAAAAAGGTTTTAGAACCGCCTGGGCCATTATACCATTTTTTTTGTTACTTTTGAACAGCATTCAGAATCTAATAGTTTTATTTTATTGGTGCAGCAATGCTGGATGAAGACTATTTTTACCTGGAAACATATTGCTATCTATATTTCCAAATAAAAATCGTTGTCACTGCTGCCTGACAACAGGCTGCTCAAAGTGGATATCGAACCCGGGACCTCTAAATCATTTCCGTCGCTCACCTATGGGCGAACCCTATCTCAAATTTAAATACATTTTTATAACCACATTTCCTATAAGGCCTATGATATTTTAAGATGTGCTTTAAATCGTCTAAAGTTTAGACGAGTCTGATGAATGAATTACACAGAAACGACTTGGCCGAAATGACATCCAATCCAATCTAGGTCAACCTTAAACTAGATTCCACAATTTAATTTTATTTACTCATAATAATGTTAAATAATTTAGTCACTACAGTTGTATTTAGTTCTATATTAGATTTAGGTAAAATATATATTTTATTTCTATTTTTTTATAATAAGGTAAGAAAAGAACGATGTCAACTTGATACTCTTATACGAGCTCGATCCGCCGTGGATCCATGCAGTTCTAATTCTGGACCAACAGGAGATTCGCATATGAGTGAATTATGTGAACTTAAATCAAGACATGCCGCATTACAGAAAGAATTTGAAACACGTTCTATAGAGGTAGAAATATATTTGTATGTACAACTCAGTAAAAATGTGATTGCTACTGTTAACCATATAACTAGTAACTTTTACTAGTAACAATTAAATTCCTGGATTAAGGACTTATTGCCTTACTGAAACGACTGCTTCGACTTCACAACCTGTTAATTACAGATTATACTAAGGATTTTTTTTGTTAGTTTTAACAGGAATCATAATCTAATAGTTCTATAAGCTATTGTGCTAATTTTTGACTTGGCAACCCAATCAGTTGTCATATATCTGTTCGATATATAAGTATTACAATTTCTGACGCAAATAGAGCAAATATTTTTATTGGTGCAGCAATGTCGGGTGAAGGCTATTAGGAAACATATTGCTAAATCTATATTTCCAAGTGTAATATTTCCTGCTCAAAGTGGGTATCGAACCCGAGACCTCTGAATCAGGTATACTAAGGAAATAAATTCAAATAAGCGACATGCAGTAAACATATCCAAAATTGCAGGACGACTTAATATACCCAATTGACTTTTACATAAATCAGTAAATGTTAAGTAAGTAAGTAAGATAACAGAAAAAGCTACGATTCTAGAATAGGTCAATAAGTTTCTGTAGCAAAATCTTATCAAAATATTTTGCTGGCCGGCAAAATATTTGAATTTTTGTTAGTAAGATATATTGACTAATTCCTATATTTCATTTTTTTAGGTTCAACAATTGACGCGAAATTGTGAGCAATTATCAGCGGCATTGCGAAATGAACGCAGCAGTTACGTGCGCGATATTGAGACAATACGAGATATGGAAGTAAAACTGAAGCAAACTGGAAACTTTAATGCTACACAAAAATTAGAAACTATTCAACGACAACATCAGGTGAAAAAATAGTTTAGAATGAATATTGAAACAAGTTCCACAAATAAAAAAAACATTTCATGGATACAATAAATTTTTTACGAGTAAGTTCAATTAGAGCAATTAGTACTCTTTATCAGCTATTTTAGTAAAAATAATGTAAATAAAAACAAAAAATTAATATTTGAAAAATTTAGATACTTTTGAAATTTAGCTCATTCACAGATTCTGAAATTCCATGAATTTAGATTGTTAAACCAAATTTAACACCAAACTTCAATAAGAATATGGTTATTTATAAAACCTTCTGAATACCTCTGAAAAAATTATATTGAAGTAGGACTATTCATGTCTATTTTAAGGAAGCCCTCGAAGAAATAGAGGAATTACGTGCAAATAACAAGGATTTAACATCACAAGTCGATAATTATCGAACAAAATATTTAACCGCACAGCAAACTCTTGAGGAAGAGCGAAGACAAGTTGAACGACTACAAACAGATAATTGTAAAACAAATGAACAGGTAAAATTTCGTTTATTTATAAATGTTTATATTTTCGCCAGAAAATTCAATTTGCTAATTTTATGTTGCTTTCGTTATTTTTAATCGATTGAGATCAAAATTGGAAAGTTGCTCATCGACCAAGCAGCGAAAGTGCAAAATTTTTGGTCCACGGTTCAGCCAAAAATGCTCGAAAATCGATTTTTTAAATTTAGATATTGGTTAGGAGTTGTACTGATTAGTTTTACATAAAGATGAGCCGGACCGTTATTTCATAATCGTTGAACATTTTTCAAGTCGACAATTTTGATAAAATTTTATACGACGATAGAAATCAATGTAATTAAATATTATGTCCTACGAAAAGTGGTTTAATTATAAAAGTTGAATAAAGTTTAGAATAATGAGCCGAGTCGAAATTTTAAAATTGTATAGATAAAATTTAAAAAGTCGTTAAATTTGAATTTTTACGGATTAGGTCGATTTTTCATGTATTAAGGCATAACTGTACGAATACCTAGTTTAATGATTGAAGGAATTTAATAATTATATGAATTAAATGCTTAATAATTTAAGCTATAATAATGCAATAACATATAACTTGATTTTAAATTCACCAGAAAAAATAATCCAGAAGTCTAAATAATTTATTTATTTTCATAAAGATTCAACAACACATTATGTATGCAACATGAAATTGTAAAATTATTTATTATAAATTTTATAACTATTGTGTAGAAGAAGTCAATAATAGTACTAGATTTTTTTCTTTTATCAATTGCGTCCATAAATAAAAGATGTTAAATTAAACGATGTAACATTAAAAGTAGCAACTGCAAAGTAAATATCACGCAATCCTATTCCTCCTTTTAAAATTTGAATCCTTCCAATTGGTGAAGTCTGCCTAGCAAAAAGTTCGGCGTATGTAACTATTGAATGCCCATTATCATTATAACCAAAATTATATGTCATTGTGAAATTATCAGTTTGATTTCTATCGTAATGGTCTTTATGCACTAATCGATCACCTAAAAACAAGTATTTTTTTTAAGTTTATTACAAATATTGGCTTATATTAATGTATACCTTCTACTCTTTTGCCAATACTATAATTGATGGTATAATCAATATTCCATTCCTCATTTTCTTTTGCGCAAAAAACAAAACACAAAAGTGTTACTAATGTCCATAGTAGGACAAAATTATATTTGAAAAACATTTTAGCTAATGAATAAGGTAATTAATAATTTGGCTCTTATATACTATTGAAATACTTGTTTACAATACGTCTCGTGAATTTCTTATCTACGGGGATTCACTCTGTCTACATTAATTTTCACTATTGTTCATAATAAATTCGAAAATAATTTAGCAAGAGATATAACATATTTTTTTTATTTTTGTTAAAAGAATATTAATACAAATAGATAAAAAACTAGGGGTAAGTGATATTTCGCCCTAATGCAAGTTGCATAGTTGCCTTCCGATATGTGTAAATAATCGTCAATAAAAATCAACTTTTAAAATTGACAGAATTTTGGAATTTTGACACGGTTCATTATTCTAAATTTTGATGATTTTCATAATTAAACCAGTTCCGGACGATCTTTACCAAAAACTAATCAGCACAATTCCCAATAGTGGGAATATTTGAAAAAAATATAATATTGCATGTACATTTATATTTAAAAAATCAAATTTAATTTTTTTTATCACTTACCTGTTTGAGGTCCTAAATTTATCCATTTATCCTATGAGTTCAGTTGTGTTTTTCTTAGTTGTAACCATAGACAAAGGAAGTTAAATCAAACTCAGTCACATTGTAAGTAGCAACAGCAAATTGAATATCTCGTAATCCTAAACCGCCTCCCAAAATCCTAATTTTTCCAATTGGGGTTGTCTGTCTAGCAAAAAGTTCTGCATAGGTAACAACCGAATGTCCATTATCATCATACCCAAAATTATAGGTCATAGTAAATTTGTCAGTTTGATTTCTATGGTAATGATTTTTGTATACCAGTCTGTCACCTGAAACAAAATTACATGTTGTAGTATATAATCGAACTATATTTTTAATTTTATAATACCTTCTATTCTTTTGCCAATCCTGTAGTTGATTGTGTAATCTATTTCCCATTCTTCGTTTTCATTTGTACAAAAAACCGAACCTATTATTATTATTATTGCCAAAAGCACAAAATTATATTTGGAAATCATTTTGGGATATGATTTTGCTAATATTGAAATTCGCTCTTATATATTCTTGCAAACATTGTTTACATTTCATCTTGTGACTTCTTATCTGAGAGTTTTATGCCTAAAATCGTATTCACCTATCGCCTGTCTTTAATTGTAAAATATGTTTTCACCATTCTACACTATTAAAAAATTATTAAAACAAGATGCTGATAACAAGAATAGATTTAATAAAATCATAAACGCCACTTTCTTCTATACTAACATTGATACAGAAACATATCAATCATCAATAATAGTTTACAATAAAGACAAATAGTTTTGTTATCTATTTATTACTGATTTATCAATTATATCCATATATATAAGTAGTCAAATCAAATAAAGTAGTATTAAAAGTGGAGACTGCAAAATATATTTCACGAAGCCCTACTCCTCCCTGCAAAATTTTAATTTTTCCAATAGGAGTCGTTTGTCTAGCAAAAAGTTCTGCATATGTAATATAAGTATGATTATTATCATGACTTCCAGGATTGTGGGTCATAGTAAAAGGATCTGTTTGGTTCCTGTGATAATGATCCTTATACACTACCCTATCACCTAAGAAAAACATATGCACAAAATATAAAAATAAAAATATTAATAAATAGAGCTTGCAATGAGAAAAATTACCTTCAACTCTCTTCCCAATGCTATAATTGATAGTGTAATCAATATTCCAACCATCTGCATTTTCACTTGAACAATAAGAAATGCATAACAGGACGATTATTAATGTCCACAAAAGGACTTTGATATTTTTATTAAACATTGTGATTAATAAATGAATAAATCATTAGGTACTTTTTACCTTATATATGAAAAATCTCGTGACTTTGCTTATCTCAGGGAATTCACCGTCTAACGATGCATTTAGATATTTATTTAATTTTAAAGTACTGGTATATCATTAGTATAACAATGTTGAAATATTATACTAATTATATATCAATTCATATTGGATTGAATAACTATTTGTGAATATTAGTAACATTCAATGCAATGAATTTTATTACCACCGCACCAATTTTATTACAATCTTTTACATTTTGCTTCAGTAAGAAAAGAAATAAATATAAAACACCTGATATTTTTATTGATATTTCTAAATATCAACATTCCAAAAATAAAAACTGTAGAGATTATCTGTACCAAAAAATATAATCTTACTTTCATATCACTGCCAGTAATATTTTAAATTCAGTAAAAACAATATAAAAATATGAAACTGTAAAATTACACGTGGGCATACTTGTATTTTTGAATACAGTTTATTGAATATATTTTAATAAAGTATTAAATATAATGTAGCAAAATTTATTTTAAAAAATAGTCTATCATCAAATTAAATAGAGAGAATTTTACAGAAAGTGTCAAGTGTTCCATTCTATTTATTTAGTCGATAAATTATTATCAGCAATTTGCAAAAGCAAACAGATAAGTTTTGTAAACATATCGAATAAAAATCGCATCACCGTAGGTGATTCCCGGCAATTAGAAAAACCTGAAAATATTTGATTTTCATAAATTTTGTTTATATTTACACAGCGATAAAAAAATAACTTCTGGTACATAATTTCTCAGAATTATTTAATAGCATATATACACGTTACGAAATTTATATAGATGTAATAGACATATGTATTGTATTTTCTTCAGGTTAACCAGGAAGTTCAAAGGGTTAAAGAAACGTTCCAGGAACGCCTTAGGAAATTGTCGCCGCTTCCATATTTATTAGAAGAAACAAAATTAAAACTTCAAGAAGCCTTATCACAAAAACAGATTGCTGAAAGAACAGCCGAAACGATAGCAGCTGAATTTGAAGAATTCAAGGTGTTAATCACATGTTATAAAAGAAATTAAAATATTATCGTGCATTCGGAAAACCTTTAGAAAATTTTCTCAGTTGGAAAATTTAGAAGTTGACCGTTATCAATAATGGAAAGTTAATTTCCTTTTTAGGAACATGCAAAAGCTATTGCAGAGGATGCAAGACGTGTCCGAAATTGTCAACAGCAGATGAGTGCTAAACAGATGTCTGATCAGCAAGTTACTGATGAATTACGAGCAGAAAATATTAGATTATCCGAAGAGGTACATGATATTAGCTAAATATTATATTTGATATTTTCCCTATATAATTCTCAATCATAATTTTAATAAAATCCTGTTTTAAAATAACCACAGACAGTTTTGTTAAGCAATGCTTTCACTCAAATATTAAAAACCTTAAATATCCGAATTTGTAAAAAATTTACTTAAATCGTTATATATGTTAATATTAACAGTCTCCACTCGCTAATTCCAAGATTTATAAGAATTTAGCCGCCAGAGCGGCGACACCCGAGTGGAAAGGGTTAATATACATTTCTTGGTTTTATTAATTTAACTCATTTATCTATTTTCTCATTGATTTCAGTTAGCAGTGTATAAAGCAGCTGCAGAACAAACTGCAAAAAATGAACAGAGAACAAGGGAACTATTATGCGAATCAAAAGAATTGGTTTTAAAAATGGACCGAATGCAGAAAGACAATGCACATAAAAATGAAAAGTAATTAATCAGAATTTCAATGCCATAGCTTAATTAATTTATTATTAATAAATTAATTATTCTATGGCATTGAAATTCTGAGCAAGATATACAAGTTCCCTATTCAATCCTCTCTACTTGACATTATATCATAGTTAAAATTCTAATGACTTATCTGATAAAATATACAAATTATCAGATTGTGAAGACTGAAGGTAAATATATGTTTTTCTCTAGATATCGTGAAAGGAGTGAAGCCACAAAACGTGTAGCCTTAGCTAGAATATCTGAGCTAGAAACAAGTTTGGCGCAGGCAAGAGCAGCAGCTAATTGTGCTGCGCAAGAACACGAAGAACTCAGACGGGGTTTGCAGGCTAAAATTGATAAGCTTCGGTACTATAAATATAATAATATAATTATAGTAAAATCGTATTCTAAACAATGCAGATTAATTTTTTTTTTTTTTTTTATTATTATAGATTCGATTACGAGGACGCGATGTTGCGCATCAACGGCATGCAAGGACATGTACAATATCTGCAAGGATTATCAGGCACTGATGATTTAATGGGAAAATTAAATTTACCTTCTACACATATGCTAGCAGACCGTTACTTAAACGAAAGCAGCGAAATAATTGCAATAATGCCGCCAAAAGCAATGAATCAGGATGAAGATCCTTGTCAACAGATTTAGCAAAATTAATAAAATGAGCAAAGCAAATTGTTTTAACACATATCCATAAATTCGAAAACTGCCTGTTAGAACTATAAGAGTTGTATCTATCAAATTGTCCTTCAATAAATTTTTTATTAGCTTTTGTAAATTAGAATGTTTTTTGTAGACCGATTTGTGAGATACAAATATGCACAATGTAATATTTTTTATGAAATCTTACAGTTTATCCTGAATTTTTGTGAGAGAGTTTCATCTAAAAACAATCACTATCGCCAAACAAAAAGCAATGTTATAAAAATATAACTTATAAATATATTTATAAATATAATTATTTAAACATTCTTAAATATAATATAAATAATTTTTGCTTAAATCTATATTACTTACACATACTAGGCGGTAGAAAAGTTATCTATTGTATTACATGTGCTTATGATTAAATTAACAATTTGTTCCTCTTCGTCAATGCTTAGTTTTGGCTGTAATTTATTGAAAATAAGCTTCATATCCATTAGGAACTAAAAACAAAATATGATTTGAATTAATCATGTGAAATCATTGAAAAACAAATAAAATCTTCATACATACTTTATCTACAGCTCGCATGTCTGAACTATATGGTGACTTACTATTAGGACTTAAAATATCACTTGAGTAGGATTTGACTATCTCAAGAATATTTTTTAAACTAGCTTCAAGATTTTGAATGCTTTTACTATCATGCTTATATTTTATTTCGTATTCATATGGTATATCATTGGACGGGTTTGGTATTGTAAGACACCTGGTTAATAATAAAAATATTTAGTATGAAAATTTAAATCATGTAAAAATAAAAAATCCCTATTGTACAAGCAAACAAACCTCAATTCACCATTATGAGGCCCAATAATAATACCCATAAATGGACCATTTTTTTCAAAACAACATTGCATTTCTTTTTGAGTATTTAAGTCTTGTAAAGAAGGTAATGGTGGAAATCCAGGATGAGAATGAACCCAGCCTACTACGGACAACCCATCATTTGATATAGCTGTTACTGATTCCGACTGAGATACTATAAATATAAAAAATATTCTAATGAGATTAGGTTGTTTCGATGCAATTTATTTATACATGTATAAATCTCATTTCATTTCTAAATTTATTTTATTTAAATTATTATTAAATGTAAATACCCTTTAAAAACATACCTGGACACATTTCACAATCTATTCGTGTTTGTTGAACAGTTTGGCAAGGTTGATATTTATTAACATATAATGTTTTAGATTTTACTTCATTACAATATATTCCACCAACAAGGCCCATTACTTCATTTCTGGAGGTAATTGAATGAAAGTTCATGGAGAGAAGAGCAGATATTTCAATATGCACTTCAAAAGGTTGCTATAGTTAAAAAAATGGATATTAGTAACAAGTATAGTAATTATTTTAATATTATGGTAGCTTTCAGCACATACATGAAAACTTTCTGTAAATTTCGAACAGTTCATTAGTTGTCCACCATTCCTCTTATAATGAGTTCGAAGTCTTACTGTATTTTTTGGCATCTCATTATCTTGTGAATGTGATATAGTATAACCTTCGCTATCCTGCAAAAAAAAAGTGTGACAAATTCCAAGCAAGTATTTCTTATAAGCATTAAGCTCATTACTTACATTTGCATATGCCCTATTTTTTTTTCTTACTCTTACTGGTTGATTAACTTCTAAAGATTCATTCTTAGTACTATTATAACTATTTATTATATTAGAATTATTTTTAAATAGATCTGACATTGGCCTTATGTAACAAGTTTGATCTAAAAAAATGTTAATGACCATATAAATATTTTATATTATATATTTAAAACAATCAATTAAAAAGTATATAAAAGAGCAATTTAAAATTACCACAATTAAAATTTATGGCTCCTAATTGCTCTAAAACTGAGTGTATTCGACCAATAGAATTAACATCGCCACAATTTTTCAGACCTTGTCTTGCTTGTGTTTTACTTAAATAGTTAGGTCTAGTACTTTTCCATCTAGACAACATATAATTCCTTATTTTTAAATATCTTTCTGGTGTTTTTGTTGGCCTGCCTAAAATATTAATTTACAAATTTAAAAAAAAAACATATTTATATAATTTGGGTACATTATATACAAACCATCAAAAAATTCAGAATTAAAATATTTTTCTAATTCAGATATACATTCAGAGTCAATAATATATTCAGATTCCGGTTTTTCTAAAGATTGTAATTGCTTTTTCAAATCAATTGATATATTAGGTTCAGCAACATCTGAATCTTCATCACTGTTTCCAACAGATTCGTTTGTTTCATCAGTTATAACGACTTCTTCATGAAAACAGTTAATACTATCCATATCATCAATAATGGTTTCTTCTTCAAAAACATCATCTGAACTATTAATGCAGCCATCAATAGAGACACAATTTATAGAGTGTTCTTCCGATTTTCCATTTTGAATTGTTTGGCTTGAATTAAGAATTGTATTGTTTTCAGTTGGTGCAGGAGTATCATCTACTTCAATATCTATCTCAGTATCACTATCCACATCTGATCTATTTTCAAGCTTTATCTTTAAAAGAAAAAAAAAACAAATCAGTTCTAATAACATTTTAGCAAACAATAAATAAATATAATAATAAAAAAGTAATAGTTTATCAAATAAAAGTGTCATACCACTTCTTCAGACTCTGATATAGGCAAAGCTTTTCCTCCTCCAGTTATCAAATGTAAGGTGTATGGGGGCTTTTCCGAGAACTTCATTTTATTTCTAATAATACTATTTCTTTGAAGTCTTGTTTTTTTACTCACTAAATTAGAACCACTATTCTTTATATTCTTTGACTTGGAAAATCTTTGTTTCATACTAGCTATTATACTTTCTTTAATACTAAGTTTATTAGGTTTAATTGCACTTAAACTTGATGGTTTTTTAAGATACTTTTGAAACACTGGTTTTAAAACACTTCTGGAATTATTACCTTTAACAACTGATTTCTGTCTCCAAGCATTATGAATAACTTTTTTAACTTCAGGATCATTTTGTTCCTTTTTTTCATGTTTTCTAACTGTGGTTTTTGCTGTACTGACAATACTTATAACTTCTTCAACGGAAGCTGGTATATCAACATCATCAAGCACTTCATCACCAATACTTTTGGTGTTTTGATTACATTTGACTTCACTAACATCTAAATTAACATGATTGGTGATCGTGTTTTCTAAACTCACTTCAGAAACTGCAATTTTTGTTAAATTTTTATTTTGAGAAACTTTAAGGTATTGTTTAACTTGGCTTGGTGTTTTAGATCCGATAAATTGGCTTAAGCACACTGGACTGCTCCCAAACAGTTCCTATAATTTCAAAAATTAAATAAGACATGATATAAATTTCATTGGTGCAACATTGATGTAATACATACTAGACCCCTTTCTAATAAAACAATTTCAGTAGTGGACCAACCCAATATTGGCTCTATTTTTGAAACATTCGGTCGTGTGGCTATAACATTTATGACAGTAGGTGGAGATATACTCTTTACCCGTTCATTAACTCTAAAATAAGATATTATTATAATTCTGAATAACAAATGTTAGTATTTAGTATTTGGCGAATATACTAATTTACTTTGTTGTTTCATCATTATAGAAGCAGGAAGATGATGAATCTAAGAGCCATTCATTGTGTGAATTCATTGAATAATCACATTGCAAAATATCAAGTTCTGAGTTTATATTAGATCTGAAAATTATAAAATATATATAAAACTTGATTGGTTTTATGATTTACAAAACTGGTTCATTTCAGCTTACATTGCATTAGTTCCTGCCAGAAACCCATCTAAACTATAATCTCCTAAAATATCAATTTCGTCTTCTTCAGCCATTATAGGTTAATTCAATTAACTCATTTTGTGCAATTTTACAATAAACACATTTGTGCTAATATCTTTTAATTATTATTACACAACTGATAATTAATAACAAAATTAATAAAAAATACTTTATAAAATATTCATAAATATTCGTAAATATTATTATATTTTGACATAACTTTGTCATCAGGGTTTTCAGATTACACAATAGTGAAGTTGCATACGGTTGGCAACATTGTCACAAAAATTCTTTGACTTTTGAAAGTTAATCTGTCAAAACAAATTCTTAACGAACCTAAAAGAGGAATATAAAACTGGGTTAAATATATAGGTTAAAAGCGACGTAAACATAAATAAACAACATTCAAATTAGAAGATAAAATCTAGAAATTATATCCATTACTATGGATCCAGCATTGCTTCGTGAAAGGGAAGCGTTTAAACGCAGAGCCCTTGTCCTGCCAACGTAGGGTTAAAATACAAGAATATTTAAAAAAAATCATTAGTGCAGTTGTTAATTGAAATTTATTTATTGTAGTGTAGAGAAAAAGAAACGTGACGATGTTCCGCCGCCTAAAGATGAACCTCGTAAGAAAAAAGTTAAAACCTTTTCTTCAAGTGGCCCAAAATTGGATAGCACTAAGTAAGATCCTGTCCTAAAAGGAAACTGAATTGGCTAGCAGTAAAACTTGTTTAATATCAGTTCTAGTTTTGATCGAGAACATCATAAAAATTCTAATCCTATGATTAAAAATTATGGCATGCTCACCTTTTACTTAGTTGCAGGCACAAACCATAGCTGAAGTATAAGATATTTTTTATATTTGTTAAAAGTACGTAATATGTCGAGTTTTTTCCAGATTATTTATTTTCCCAGTATTATATTTTGGATTCAAAAAGCTACGAAAACCTAAGCTCAAGTATCATCCAAATTTTCTAAAAATTGAACATATTCCACCTCTATAGCATTTAATATGCTACCTTTTTTCATAATATATAGATAAATATTTCTTTTTCCTGTATATGCAGTTACAAGACTATGAGTGGTAGCTCACAATATCGTTTCGGTGTCTTGGCTAAAATTGTAAAACATATGAGAACACGCCACCAAGAAGGTGATGATCATCCTCTTACATTAGAAGAAATTTTAGATGACAAATCAATTAGACGTAGATTCTAAAGTAAAGCAGGTCAGAATTCTGAAAACTTTAATAGAAACATAATTAAACCATTTTTATAGTTGCACAATTAATAATTCTATATTTGTAGTGGTTACAAACTCAAGCATTCCCAAACAACCCTAAAATTGAAGTTTCAGTTGATGGAAGATTTTCATTCAAAGCTGTTTATAAAATCAAGGACAAAAAAAGTTTATTGAGGTAATTAAACACTATATTTTTACGTATTCATAATTAGAATTCGTTTGTAAATAGAAAATTTATCTACTTGCACAATAACATGTTACAGATTGCTTAAACAACATGATCTGAAAGGCCTTGGAGGAATATTATTAGAAGATGTTCAAGAATCATTACCCCATTGTGAAAGGGTTCTAAAAAGTTTACAGAATGAAATTATATACATAGTACGGCCAATGGATAAAAGAAAATCTTATTTTATAACGACAGAACAGCTGCAATAACTGTGAGTAAATACTCATGCACTTAAACTTCTTGCTTTAATTGTTATATGAAATAACTATAAAAATAATTACAGATAGATGAAGAATTCCAGAAACTTTGGCGATCTGTTGCAGTAGATGCCATGGATGATGCTAAAATTGATGAATATTTGGACAAACAAGGTAATGTATATTTTAGGATAATGAAGTTTTATATAAGAATTCAGTACAGAGTAAATTATTTCAAATTCAACAGGTATCAAATCAATGCAAGACCATGGGCCTAAGAAACCAATTATACCTAAAAGAAAGAAAGGCATTCAGAAGAAAAGGCAATTCAAGAAACCTCGTGATAATGAACATTTGGCAGATGTTCTAGAAACTTATGAAGATAATAATATAACACAAAAACCAATTAATACATAAGATATTAGACATAGGAATAGATATTTGATAATTCACTTTGTAAATAAATACAAAATTATTTTTATGAAGGCAATAAAATATAATTTAAATAATTTAGGTAATTATTTTAAACCTTTGATATAAGAATATAAATATCCATTTTGATCTTAAGATCTTTATATTAAGAATAGTACAAACAGTATTAATTTTTCATTATATATATAATCTATTTCAAATCAAATATTTTATTTACACAGTTTTAATTATTATTCTATTCTGAAGGTGACCAAGCATCTTTATAATTTTCTATAGTCATTGTTTTATATCTTCGAAGAACTACAGCTAAATCTTCATCCTTTGGAGTTGCCGAAAGAATTTCTACTCTCGAAATGAGTAAATGGTCCTTATTGAGAGGACTTGGTCCTTTTACAATATCAATCTCATCACCAATTTCTAGTTGAGCGTCTTTTTCAGTAACTTTTGTCCGTTGACTCTGATTTTACTTTCGTAGAAGTGGGTTCTATTTTGTTTCTTGCTAGATTTAAGCCGCTTTTTAGAACTAAATCAGCTCTAAGGGAATTTAATTTGGTTTTTACAAATTTTGGAATCTCTATCGCTTGTGAACTCTTCTTCTTCATCTGAATCGGAATCATATTGTTGAGTTTTTCCTTTTTTGTCGTATTTAAAAAA